GACAGTTGGTTCCTCACCTCTTAGACTCACCCAAAAGGGGCCCCGGAGCCCAGGACCATTTGGTAATCACTAAAGAAGAAAATTAGGACTTACAAATTTAAATATAGAAAATATCTCAGAATACCAAAGATTATACAAATTTAAAATATTGGTATTTTACGTGATCTGAGCATTGAAGAAATCTGGTTCACAAATGACACTGTGTCTCAGAAACAGAAATACTTTCACCATCACCATCAAGTGCCTTACTGACTCTCTAAAACCTGCAATCCTCGATAGTGTATCGGTTCATGTACTGACACCCCTCCATGCCCTAGCAAAAGGTTCTCAAGAATCTTCTAACGTTGTCTTGATTTTTCTTGTCACAGACATTTTAAGTGGCCACATGTTCCAGTTTCCCTCTTCTCACACAATGGAAAAAAAGAAGACTGTCTCCTTCTGATGTTTGTGATAAGTTGTTTTCTGCCCCTCACTTCTTTCAACACATTCAAGTTACTCATTCTGTCAGCATCTGTGCGTTAGGCATTGCGAGTACGCTTCGGAATGCCGGAGTTCTGAGTTCAATTACAGCTGTAGATTTGGCAGCAGACCACCTCGTGTTGGCTTTGACATTGATATCAAGAGTCAACCATTCATAAAACAATGGCAACTGAAAGTAAGTTTGCTAAGAACCACAACAGCTCAAAAATGCTGGGGTGGTTTCTGCAACCTGATGTTTGAAGGACAAGCAACTAACTTTTCACCCATTTTGGCTGCCCAAGAAATGTTTAAAGAAAAATTCTTTCAGAAATAACTTGGCCATATTAAATGCCGCAGTTTGATTCTGTTTTTTTAAAGTAAGAACAGTAATGGCAGGTATGGTTCCAGAAAGTAGAGGCCGGGGCCCATGTAAAGGGACACGGAAAATTCGAGAAACACTGAACATGACTGACTAACTGACTTTCTACCCCACTAGGACATCACACAAGCGATAAACACCCGATGACACAAAGTGCCACAATGTGGATGAGGATCACCGTGGAGAGGTCCTATAAACTGCGTTCAGACAATTTGCCATATTGATGGCCTGCCTATATTGCGGCCCCTGGCAAAAGCCAGTGTGGGGCTTCAAAAAACAAAAAATTACGTCCTTAAAAGGACATAAGGAATCATAAAACTGGACATGAAAATACATAAGGGAGATCAATTAGTAAGGGGTTGAATGTCTTTCTAGCAGGCCAAGATGGTACCAACAGTGTGCAAAATACCTCCCACAAGATGATGATGACGATTCTTCTGACAGCTCCAAAACTTATCCGGAGTCTGTATACACATAGGGATTATAAATAAATAACACCAAAAATGCTTTGTCAAAAAACAAACAAAAAAACTGTCAAGCCTGAACCCTCCATAAGGCTCTTGACAACAAGAGCATAATAAGCTAATTAACAACAACACACAGACAACAAATATGTTCCCATTCTTGTTAAAATATGTACAGCTGGACTCCACCTGCAATTACCACCAAAGACTTCTCCACACATGGTCCCTTAGGCTGGGATAATATCAGAAAAAATAAACCCAACCAAGTTCACTTTCACAAACAGGATGAACACATTTTATCTCGCTGATGTATCCCTTCCATTTACAGTAATGGATGTTTATCAGTATAGTTACCACACCAAAAAATTGTATAAATTATATGCTCAAAACAAGGTTGATTTAACTCTGTAGTAATGCACCTGACAAGAAGTAGAGCTGAGTTGTGTCAAGAATTGATATCTCAGCACTCAGGGCATTCCCATGTGTGCTCCGTCCTCATCTTCAGCAGCCAGTACAGTTCCAATACTACTGGTACCGATCAGAATCTGGTTATATGTCCGTCTTGCCTTACCTCTGAGTGTAGTGAGCCGGCCAGACTCTCTGGTTACACCCAGGTGCCTCATTTTCTCCAGGCCATAATAATCTTGTTTTGCTTCTGACTCTGCAGCTTGTTCCAAATGAGCCCTGACCACATCTGCCTTTGTACCTGACAAGATACAGTGAAATATGCCACACAATAAATTGTGCGATGCAATGTTTGTGCCCGCATTATTTAAAATGATATATTCTAAACAACTTTCCTCAATCTCTGAAAATATGTGCATCACCTTTCTAAACAAACACATTATACTGTGTAAATATATTTGTAATATTTATCCATCAATTTTTCTATAAGCAAATTATCTTGCAAACACTTTATATCTTGTTAACATAAATCCCCTATTCATGATGTTTATCCATCAACTTTCTATACATAATTTATTTTGTGAACATATTTCACTTATTTATGACATTTTCAATTTTTCTATAAACACTTTTTTTATATCTTCTTTTTTCTTTTTTCTCCCAATCATGCCTTAGTGTTGGGAAATGAGCAGTCAGATAGACTGGTCGGTTCTGCCACCACTTTGGGTGATAAGCTAGATGTTTTAAGGGCCCTTTGAGAGCGAGTGTACAGTGTAGAGGTATATATAGATCAATCCGGTCTGAGGACAATAGCACTGCGGGGAGTTACCAGGGGATCTGGCATATGCTCAACACTTGAGAGAAAGGCGAGACAGATATTCAATCAGACAGTTGCTGGTGCTATCGGAATTGGAACTCTTCGCTTGCTGCTGAAGATGGGGGCGGAGAGCTTATGAGAGTGTCCCGAGTGCTATGATATCGATTCCTAATCCAATATTCTTCTTATTTATTATTTTCTCCAGTTACTTCCTCAATGTTTTGGAGGGAGATGTAAGGATCTTCTGTGTGATCTTTCCAATGTTTTGTCTTATCAGTGTTTACGATGAAAAGAATGAAACCGTCAGCAGGAACATTACCCTGCCTGCTGTATTCAGGGTACCGATTTGACCAAATGTTTCAAAATCCAAATACATAATGATAGCTCTTCATAGTATACAGAAACTACTACAAATAACAATATATTCTCAGCCTGCAACTACACACAACAGCTCTTCATGGTAAAGTTAAGAAATTACTAAACAGGCTCACACAATTTAATACTTTAATTACATGCAAACAATTCTTCATGGTAAAGTTAAGAAATTACTAAACAGGCTCACACAATTTAATACTTTAATTACATGCAAACAATTCTTCATGGTAAAGTTAAGAAAGAACCACACATTCTCAGACGTCAACCACAAGCCTTCATGGTAAAGTTAAGAAACTACTAAAGGAGTTCGCAAAATCCCATTCATCAACCACACGCATAAAAAGTTCTTCTAGTTCCCTGTATTCTGGGGCCCTGTTATAAGAAAAACAAGAATAGACCCACTGCCTACCCAAAAGCATGTCGTAAGAGTCTACTAATTGGGAGCTTTCTTCAAAGTCGAGTCCATCTGCCTGAGAGGCAAGGAACCAGCAGTCTGCATACAAATGAGTCAGATCTGTAAAATGGATGCACACGCAACACTCAGGTTCTGGAACAGGACTAAGGTCAGAAGTGGATGAACAACCAGAACTTTCTGCCAGAGTTTACAGCTGGTGAATGCGAAGAAGAAGAAGAAGAAATTCTTCATTGTAACTTAAGAAGCTACTACAATAGTGATTTTCCGCCTAAGGAGTGGGTGCATTAAGCAGGCGTATGGAAGTTTCAAGAGGGGCATCCAAATATTTTGAAACTGAATGCATTTAAACTTTAAACAAATCAGCAGTGCCAGCTTGATGTGGAGAGTGATCTTCTTGTGCCTCGCCGAACATCATAACAAAAATAGCAGAAATCATCAAGACAAAACAGTGTCAGCCATCACTCTGATATTTGAACATTAAATTACTAGTTGCTGGTGACTGTTTTTTTAAATGTTATTTTATTTTTTATGAATGCTTTCTCAAAGTTCTTGTTAACTCTTTGAGTCCCAGAAGGTTTAGCATCACAGGCCCAAGGGGTAGTCAAGAGAGACGCAAAATCGGCGCATCATGTGTTCATTGGGCCTCTAGGTAGGAATCTATCAACATATGATGCGTTCCTTGGGACTCAAAAAGTTAACAGTGATTAGAATGTTCTTCTTGTTCCCATCATTTTTTGAATCATTATTTTTTGTTTAAATTGGAGTGGGGAATGGGGGGTCTTGCATTATTTTCAAAGAGGGCATCACTTCCCAAAGCCTGAAACACCACTGTACTACACAGAATCAAATGTTCTCATACTGCAGCCATATACAACAAAAGCTCTTGGTCATAAATTTAGGAAACTATTTTTAAAAATCACATCTTCTCAGACTCCAATCACACAGGGATAGTTTTTCACAGTAAAATTAAGAAGATGCAACACAGAATCAGATGTTATCATACTCCAGCCACAAAAAAGCTCTTTCAAGTAAAGTTTTGAAAGTACTTAAACAAAATATAACCCCCCCCCCCCCCCCCTCTCCCCCCAAAAAAAATTCAGACTCTAACTACAAAGTGACAGTTTTTCATGGAAATGTTAAGAGGCTACGGTACAGAATCAGACATTCTTCACCCACACAACAAAAGCCATTGACGGTAAAGTTAAAGTATTTAGAAAAATCACAATTTCTCAAACTCTAACCATAAAGTGACAGTTCTTCATTGTGAGGTTAAGAAGCTACTATACAAAATCAGACACTCTCCACCCAAACAACAAAAGCCCCTGAATGTAAAATTAAACTATTTAGAAAAATCACAATTTCTCAAACTCCAACCACACAGTGACAGTTCTTCATGGTGAAGTTAAGAAGCTTCTGTACACAATCAGACACTCTCCACTCAAACAACAAAAGCCCTTGATTGTAAAATTAAACTACTTAGAAAAATCACTTCTCAAACTCCAACCACACAGTGACAGTTCTTCATGGTGAAGTTAAGAAGCTACGGTACAAAATCAGACACTCTCCACCAAAACAACAAAAGCCCTTGACTGTAAATTTAAACTACTTAGAAAAATCACAATTTCTCAGACTCCAACCACACAGTGACAGTTCTTCATGGTGAAGTTGAGAAGCTACTGTACAGAATCATAGCTTGGATCCTGGCTGCCACGCTTTGTGGAAGAAATGACCTGGTAAAGGGGTGCAGTGGGTGGACTCAAAGTTCTCCATATGCACTGTCACCTGTATGTATGACAGCAATAAGTTCAAGTGATGGACATTTTTGTTTATCATACAAACAGCAAAACAGTTATATTGATTATAAAGCAAACTGAGTTAGTTTCATGGAAATAAAAACAGATACAGAATATTTGAAGAGACTAGGAATGAAAAATGAGCTGACAAAGGAAATAAAAATGAGACAAGGGAAATATTTTGCCATTTTAAAAGGCATAATAATTTCATTAAAAACTATAAGGGAGCTGCGTGGTCTCGAGGCATGATGTCCGCCTCGAGTGCTAGAGGTTCCGAGTTCAATCCCCGGTAAGAGCTGGGATTTTTTCATGTAGACTTGGATTTCTAGTAATTCCCCCTGGTCTCTGGGTAGCAAGATTGGACGCCCATGTGCCCTGTTGCACTGCCCGGGCAAAATTTTTAGTTAAAAATCTACCCAAAGTATTTTCAGGATCCTTGCCGATGCTACAGAGCATTGTGCTGAACTTCTTGGGACTCAGACTTGAGTTAGAAGAAGAATGGAACACTTATGGGTTACTACCCGTGTGCCATGATGTTGATCGTTGTTCAAACCTCAAACCTTAATTAAAAACCATAAGGATAAAAGCGATATAAACTGGAAGATAACATCAAGAGATGGACAAGCAGCAGTCTCAGAAAGTAGATATCCAAGAAGAAAGAAAGCATATTGGAGATCCACTGCAGCCACTCTTCAATGAGGAGATGGCCCCTGATCGACTGATGTTTTTTTTTTTACTTTCTTACTTTTTCTTCTTCTTCACTTTTACCGGCTGTAAACTCCAGCAGAAAAATCTGGTTTTTTTAGGTATACTTCTGTACTTTAGTCTTGTTCCAGAACCTGAGTGTTGGGTGCACATCCGTTTATTACTAAATACACACACATACACACACACAATATACACTATGGATCATTTTTATTTACAGTCAATAGTAAAATTCTGAAATTTAAAAACAATTTTAAAAAAAACTTGTTTAAAGGATTCTTTAGCGAAAAAGCTGACAATGACTGGCAAAGACTTTTTACAATAGAAAGAATATACAATAAACAAAATCTGACATCAGACTTGAAACGGCATAGTTCGTATGAGACATAACATCAGAGATAATGATACTGACTCACCAAAAACAAAGCCAATTTGATTTTTAGTTGTACATCACGGTGACAATCTGGCAAAAGTAAGAGACAATAAATCGATGAGAGAAATGGCAATAACACTGCTAACTTCATCTTTGTAATGGCAGGCTATACAATCCAGAGATTAGTATCAATATTAGTGTGGTAACAATAAAAGTAAAGGATTGATATCAATATTTGTGTGGTAAACGTAAAAGTCTGGTATCAATATCTGTGTGGTAAAAGTACAATTAAAGAATCCTTTTCCATGCCCTGAGGCACATTGGGTTCATAGAGCTGGACGTATATATTACAGACCAGCTGGTACTCGGTGGATGATCAACTTCCCACCGGCCACCTTTACCTCCCATGACTTTACCTGGTACCTGTTTTAGGCTAGATCAATTGGTAGAGCCACGATCATTTGAAAAAAAAAAAAAAAAAACGACCTGAGGGAGATGTTAAACTATGATCTTTAGGCTCGCAGCCAACATCACCACAATTGGGTTTTCCATACTTGCTCCGTTCGTGTGCCAGTGCTAATCAAATGAAATGTCCCTAACTGTTGCATTTGAAAAACTGGTGAATTAACAACTAGTTCTGAAACAATCCAGAAATATGTGTACCCAGTAAATGCATATTTCAGTTGCTGGAGGCGCCAAAACCAACAATCCACACCAGAAATGCAGTTTGTCATTGATGGAAGCAGTCGGGCACGATAAGTTGGTAACAACACACACGTAGAATTCCCCAGCTCACACGTAAACTGGCCATACTGAACAAAATGACACAACAGCTGCGCAAATGAAAGGCATTACGCATTAAAAAACACAGCTCACAGGGCTGCACCAAGCACTTAACTCAGTAGCTCAGGCAGTGAAACCGTAGACTACCGTCCTTGTCTTCAGCTTCTGGTACAAAATAAAAGACCAATTTCCACGCCTTCAGGCGTACTGAACATATGGTACTGGACCCATATTTTATAGACCAATCATCATTTGGTGAGTGGTGCTGTCAACCTTATGATCACCATTTTACTTCCAAGGACTTTGCTTGGCAACCATTTAAGGCATGGTCGATGTAGGAGAAAAGGCCATTTTTAAAGAAGTCCGGCTCCATTAAGATTTGAACTCATGACCTTAAGATCTGCAGGCGAGGGTCTGGCCGCTACACTGGCAGTTCCCTATGGCACGAAGAAATTATTTTAAGACTTACTGACAAAATTCACCTCTGTAGCATTACTACTTACTATTAAGACATACCCTTACTTGATAGCTCACTTACCTACATATAAGGGGAAATGCAGCTCTTTGCTCTGAACATATGGTACAAAGTAGTTGCTACATTCATGGAGATCTACAAATCTATCTTCTAGTTCAGCGGCTGCAAAGTTCAATAAGAAATAGTAACATTAAAAAGATGCAACAGGTGGACATGTACTTAATTGAGATTTCAACTTCAATGCAATCGGGTCACCCCTTTATGTGCTCTGTTTCTGTGCCAGTGAAAATTAAATGAAATACTCCTCATATGGACTGTCTGTGTTGGCACTTCTGACGGCTGCTTCCCAGACTGTGTGTCGGCCACAGTGCAAATGTATGTCACACGAGCGTAAAGTGGTAAATGAAATAAATGCAATGACAGTAGTTATGTGTGTTATTCAATCAGTTTTATTATTGCAGGAAACAGCAAAGATCCCTTTACATGCCAGCGATGCACTGGGCACATAAGGCTAGACTCGTATCTTTATAGACCAGTCAGCCTCGATGATTGATATGGTCAACATTACAGCGTTGTTTTATTATTAAAGGTCCCTTTTCCACTCATTTAGGCATATAGGGCTAGACCTATATTTTTATAGACCAATCGGCACAAGATGTGGTCAGCATCATGCCGGCTGCCTTTACTTCCCAGGACTGCACCTGGTACCCACTCAAGGTTGGGTCGACCTGGGAGTCAATGTCATTTTGTGAAAAAAGTCCGGCCCCCACTAGGGAGCAAACCCACGACCTTCTGATCCGCAGGCAGGCGTCTAGCTGCCACGCCTTGATGACTCCTGTTGTTTTATTACTGTTACTCATAAATTATAACAATGACCTTATTCTTAGAAATATTATATATTTTTAATATATCTTCTTCTTCTTGGCGTTCACCGGTTGTAAACTTCAGCAGAAAGGTCTGGTTTGTGTCCTCTTCTGCACTTTAGTCCTGTTCCAGAATCTGAGAGTTATGTGCACATCTGTTTTTAAAAACTGACTCATATGTATGCAGACTGTTGGTTTCTGGTCTCTCAGGCAGGTGCATTCCGGCTTCGAAGTAAGCCTTCCATCAGTCGACTCTTAAGAAATGTGTCTGGGAAGGCAGCGGGTCTGTTCTTGTTTTCCCCACAATGGGGCCCCAGAACCCACATAGTGATTTTTAATATATAATGCTCTAGTATTGGGTCAAGTGAAATAAATCTATTTAGAGTAGTCTGACAGAATCCCTTTACACAGCCCAAGGGAGCCGTGGTAGCGTAGTGGCTACAGACTGAGCCAGTGAATTCACACTGAGCCACATTTTGTTCTTTAAAACTAACCTTGGCTCCCCAGCTGACCAAACATAAAATAAGTACCAGGCAATTCATACAATAAAACCAACTGTATCCCAGTCTGCATGGAACAGTATGCAGAAGAAAAAATATTATCTCAGGTCACAGAAAAGCCCATCTGTGACAGAGGAAAGTAATAAGTAATAAAATGAGTCCTGGGTGCACCATTACGAACCAGAGAGTAAGAGACAACTGATGCAGTGCAGGCACCCTGCCCACTGCCACTGAAAAAGAAAATCAAGACACAGGCTCCAGCTGAAAAGGTCATGCTAACCGTCTTTTGGGATGTCAATAGCCCTATACTGACGCATTTCCAGGAAAGAGGTGAAACTGTCACTAGTGCTCATGACAGTGACATGTTAGCATCATCTCCATTTCTGTGCCTGTTAATGACAGCTGACATCTGTGGCTTATTAAGGGTTGTGAACACAGTTTCACAATACTGACATACCAATGTTTGAAGTCAGCTGTAGGTGACTTCGTAGCAGTCGGCCTGCACTGACCCTGACAATCATACCAGTAAGCAAACTACTGAACATAAACCACATAAACATATTACCACTACCTAACATCCAATAAATACTGGTACTGGTTTGTTAAGTCCTTAGAAGCATATGCAACTAGCTTTAATAAAATCAATTAAAACATTTTGAGATGAACAAAAGAGATAACCAACCTTGTTCATAGGATTCCTTAGATAAAAAGTCCTTAATGGCTGGCAAAGTTGTAGAATCAACTATAGAGGGATATCTGAAACACCAGAATAGATACATACATACACATAAATATGGCACATATGTTATTATGTATGTTTTTTGTGCATATGTACTTACGTCTTTTTGAGGTCAGCATCTGGCTATTAGAAGTGAACAGAGTCTGGCCAGAGATGACTACCACTTACTTGACCGGCATGGGCAGGTCATTGTCCTACGTCTCAGGACAGGACATAAAAAACTTAACCAGCATATGCACAGGCTTCGTCTAAGTAGTTCACCTTTTTTCCCTTGTGGGATATGTGTGCAGACTACAGAACATGTCCTGCAAGACTGTCCCTTGTTCAGCCCATTAAGAAAGAAATACTGGCCCAGTGAGTCACCACTGTACACAAAGTTGTATGGGACTAAAAATGAACTCATAAAAACAGTCAAGTTTATCACAAGAACCTGTCTATCGGTGTAAATCAGAAAGCGAACACAAGAACAAGAAGAAGAAGGTCAGCATCTGTAGCTTAGGGGTTTCAATGGTTTGTAATTCTGAGATACCTGGTTCTATTCCAGCTGTGACAATTTGGCATATGTGTTGAGCTGAGTTGAGTTGAAAATTCACATCACAGCACTCAGGGCCTTTCCATGCGTGCTCAGTCCTCATCTTCAGTAGCCAGCGCAAAGCTCCAATACTGATGGTACCGGTCACAATCTGGTTATATGTCCGTCTTGCCTTTCCTCTGAGTGAAGTGAGCCGGCCAGAACCTTTGGTTACACCCAGGTGCCTCATTCTCTCGAGGCCATAATAATCTTGTTTCTCTGCTGATCCGCTGCTTCTTCCCAAAGGGCCCTGACCAAATCTGCCTTGTCATGTATCAGTTCACCACCCAGTGGTGCTTTGGCATATGTGTGTGTCTACACAATTCATTCAATCATTTAATTATATTTATTCTGTGCCGACAGGAGTTAATGAATGTCATTTATTAGTAACTGTCAATGTTTTAGCTTCATACTGCAGGACTAATCTAAAATCACTGCAAAAGAGCAACTATTCTGGGTTGCTTTAAATGTGTGTGCAAGAAAAACGCAAACACATGCACACACACACAGAGAGAGAGAGAGAGAGAGAGAGAGAGAGAGAGAGAGAGGCGCAGAGAGAGAGAGAGAGAGAGAGAGAGAGAGAGAGAGCAGCCGTCCACAAACAGATGTAAATTAAAACATCAAGAATTTAAAAAAGAGAGAGTTTTCCCTCTCTTTGTCCTTGGTTTAAGTTTAATGCATGTTAATTACCCAGTGTGTGTCTTTCATGTAGAAGAAGAAGAAGAAGGAGGTGGAAAAGGAAGATGAACAGAAGAAGAAATAATAGGAGGAGCAGCAGAAAAAGGAGAAGAAGAAAAAGAAGAAGAAACAAGGAAGAAGAAGAAGAAAGGGAGAAGAAAAAAGGAAGAAGATGAAAGAAGGAGGAAGAAGAAGAAGAAGAAAAAGAAGAACGGAATATGAAAAAGAAGAAGAAATGCATTACCATATAAACATATTAAATGTATAAATACACTACCTGTGCTGTAATAATTTTATTAAAAGGTGGTTCCCTCTGTTTGTTGAAATCACTGGAGATCTGTCTGGAGGAGCCCTGACAAGAAAAGAGCTCAAGATGCAAGTAATTCCAAGGGCAAAAATAATTATAAGCAATTGTACAAAGAAATAAAATAAAGATGCTGGTGCTGGATAGGCATTTTTTCGGAAAAGCTGAGAATAATATAACTAGAATGTCTTGATACTGGAACCCACTGATTCAAAGAAATAAAAGAAGATAAAAAAAAAAATAAAGAAGGAAACTAGTGAGAGAAGCTTAAAAAAAAAAATAGGATGGGAGGACAAAGGGAGAGCTTACATCAAAAGATAGAACGACCTGGCACGAGCTGGTTGAGGGCCTGTGCTCCAGTGGATGAAAGAGCAGAAAAGAAGAGATAACAATAAATAGGGAGCCACTGTATGAGGAGGCTTCAAATGAAAACCTTACAAATGTGACATGCCACAACAACCATGCCACTGCCTTGTAATCTGTCAATACTGTGTTAAGGATGTCAAGAGTGTTAAGCACGTTACATCACGGTGCAGATGAACACAGTGACATCATACCGGCAGTTTAAAGATGGTAGCCCCACTTCTGACATGCACCAAAGAGGAGCAGCATATTATTATCCATTTAAAAAAACAAAACAATGACATGTGGAAACCTATGAAAATTTATCGGTGAATGAAGGTACAGTAGGGTTGTGCATGCCTGTCAGTAGAGCAATCAGGTATTTTTATGTACGAGGCTTTCTTCAGCGGCAATCGACTCTGGGGTCACAACTCACTGTGCCTGGCCCAGTGATGAACAGTCTCACACAGAAGTCAGGCCTTTTGAATCTTCCTTCTCCACTCCTACACTTGCAGAATGGTCATTCTGGGGTACCAGCAAATGCTGTGTGAAGTAAAGGAGGCCAACATCAAGATCATTGAACTAAGCTAAGTTGAACTGATTCAAAAACCGACATCACAGCACTCAGGGCATTCCCATAAGCGCCCCGTCTTTATCTTCAGCAGCCAGCACAGAGTTCCAATACCAATGGTGCCAGTAGCATTCTGATTAAACGTCCATCTTGCCTTTCCTCTGAGCGTCAAGCATCGGCCAGAACCCTCATCACTCCCTGCTGCATCACTCTCACCACACCAGACTGGCGAATGAACTAGGCATAAACTACACAGCCTCAAGAAGGATCCTAAGGAATCTACAAAACAGCTACACTCATGAACCAATAGATGGAGCCTGTGACTTGAACACACAACCTTCAGGGTGTGAAGCTAACAGCTGAATAACTTTGCCAGAAAGAAGACTACAACTATACAAATATATATAAGAATGATTAAATTTTATCTTCTTATAAAAAATGTGTGGTCCCATTTTGAGTTAGTTGTGTCTAGTTACACACCTCTTAAAATCAAATTTCTTCAGCATTCCCTTGAGGTTCGCTGCTGCAAACATCCATTAATCTCTGTGAATGGTCTCATCTTTCCAACTGGTGGTAATGACCAGGAGGTTTGTAGGTATGCCTGTATATTATCTCTTTACTATCATCTTGGCCTGCCTCATGGTCTTCTTTCTTCTGTTTTTCTAGCCCCCAATGGAGCATAGGCCCTCAACAAAGTCATGCCGTCGTTCTCATGGTCTACTCCCATTCAACTATTCCGTGTAGTTTCTTCCCTCTTTTTTATCTGCCATTCTTTCTATATCAAATGTCAAGCTGTTGAAATATGTGTATAAGGTATGCCTTCTCTACAGATTCCATTCCAAGGAGTCTATCCTTCTGCTTTTGCCTTTTTTCTCCAAAAAAAGTACACAGTGGTCCTTAATCAAATCACACTAAGAGTTTTATATCCAGTGTTGATAAATGAATGGATTTTCCAGCTAAGGTATTCTACTGACTGGGTTGAGGTGAGCTGGGTGATAAAGTAAAATAAAGGAAGGCTTGGCGTGAAGAAGAACAGGAAGAAGAAGAAGGAGGGAGGAGCAGCAGAAGAAGAATAAGATGATAATGATGTCGAAGAAGAAGAAGAAGATGATGAAGATGAAGAAGAAGCAGAAGATAAAGAAGTAGATGAAGAAGAAGAAATGGAATATTTACATTAAACAGTTCTTTTAATCCACTCAGACAAAACCTACAACTCACACTGTGGTGATGATTTCATCCCTTGTCCTTCTGATCAACAAAACAGGTCCGTTGTATCTGTCACAAACAAATAACCAAAGGACATTATCATAGCATCCAAAATGTACATAGAAAACCTCTTCTCCTTATGCCTTCACTATCTTTAACAACATGCCTGTCTAGTCCCCCCCCCCCCACCCCCCCCCCCCCCCCACCATAAAATAATGAAAATAATGGGGGACTAGGAACACAAAAAGAAAATTTTTGTACTTAACCCTGTCACCCCGATAAGCTTAATAAAAATGGGTCGTGAACCTATGGAGATTTCCAAACAAAATCCTTAAAAAACAACCAATTTACAAAGTAGCGAATAATATGGTTACACATTTATTTATGCACATTTAATCAAATTTATATTTAAAAATATAGATATATTGATATATAAAGGGAATAATCAATAAACATGAACATTAAATAGAATATCTTCTCCGAGGTCTTAAAAATGAATATGTAGCGGTTGCTCATGCCATGATCTTAACCATTAGGCCTACAGAAAAATGTGACATAAATATGACTTTGGAGAAGCCACATGTTCAAAAGAAGAAACCCTCCTTAAATGCTTATTTTTTTTAGTAAATATTTTTATATGCTGTGCAGGTGCAAACATTGCCAACAGCACTGACTATGTGTCCCGTAAGCATGTCACTCTAAAAAAGTCAGTTAAGTGGCTTTCTTTGAAAATCGGACCCAACTGGAAGAGTATTTTTTTGCAGCTCTTCGGGGCAGCAGTGAATCAATAACAGTTTTCTATGTAAATAACAGATGTGTGTGGTTTATGAGATGCCTGATGCAAATGCTTTGGACTATGAAAGAGGCTATTAATGACTGTCTAGAAAGAAGATAATGAATATCAAACATTATTGAATATCAAACACTAACTGCTACTGTATGAAAGACAGAAACTGTTCTTTGGTCATGTGGTGAGAAGATAGGCATAGGAGACTGACGACTGAAAAGATCAGCGACAGCAAGGGCACAGTGAGAGAAAGGATGCTGGAAGTCTAAGATGGTTGCATCATCATTGGAATTTATCCCAAACTGCTCTAGAAATGTGAACATAATTCTACCAGCTGTTCTACCAATATGTTCACCTGCTAAATAATAACTAACCAGCTGTTCCAAGACACGTACATCTACCACATGCTCTACCAGCTGTTCTAAGACACGTACATCTACCACATACTCTACCAGCTGTTCTAAGACATGAACATCTACCACATACTCTACCAGCTGTTCTAAGACATGTACATCTACCACATGCTGTACCAGCTGTTCTAAGACATATACATCTACCTCATACTCTACCAGCTGTTCTAAGACATGTACATCTACCACATGCTCTACCAGCTGTTCTAAGACATGTACATCTACCACATGCTGTACCAGCTGTTCTAAGACACGTACATCTACCACATACTCTACCAGCTGTTCTAAGACATGAACATCTACCACATACTCTACCAGCTGTTCTAAGACGTGTACATCTACCACATACTGAACCAGCTCTTCTAAGACATGTACACCTATCACATACTCTACCAGCTGTTCTAAGACATGTACATCTACCACATGCTGTACCATCTGTTCTAAGACATGTACATCTACCTCATACTCTACCAGCTGTTCTAAGACATGAACATCTACCACATACTCTACCAGCTGTTCTAAGACATGTACATCTACCACATACTGAACCAGGTCTTCTAAGACATGTACACCTATCACATACTCTACCAGCTGTTCTAAGACATGTACATCTACCACATGCTGTACCATCTGTTCTAAGACATGTACATCTACCTCATACTCTACCAGCTGTTCTAAGACATGTACATCTACCACATGATGTACCAGCTGTTCTAAGACATGTACATCTACCACATGCTGTACCATCTGTTCTAAGACATGTACATCTACCTCATACTCTACCAGCTGTTCTAAGACATGTACATCTACCACATGCTGTACCAGCTGTTCTAAGACATGTACATCTACCTCACACTCTACCAGCTGTTCTAAGACATGTACATCTACCACATGCTGTACCAGCTGTTCTAAGTCATGTACATCTACAACATGCTGTACCAGCTGTTCTAAGACATGCACATCTACCACATGCTGTACCAGCTGTTCTAAGACATGTACATCTACCACATGCTGTACCAGCTGTTCTAAGACACGCACATCTACCGCATGCTGTACCAGCTGTTCTAGGACATGTACATCTACCACATACTCTACCAGCTGTTCTAAAACACGCACATCTACAATATACTCTACCAGCTGTTCTGAGACATGTACATCTACAATATACTCTACCAGCTGTTCTGAGACATGTACATCTACAGTATACTCTACCAGCTGTTCTAAGACATGTACATCTACAATACACTCTACTAGCTGTTCTAAGACATGTACTACTACAATATACTCTACCATTGCTCTACTAGCTGTTCTAAGACATGTACATCTACAATACACTCTACTAGCTGTTCTAAGACATGTACAACTACAATATACTCTACCATTGCTCTGCTAGCTGTTCTAAGACATGTACATCTACAATACACTCTACCAGCTGTTCTAAGACATGTACATCTACAATATACTCTACCATTGCTCTACCAGCTGTTCTAAGACATGTACATCTATAATATACTCTACCATTGCGCTACCAGCTGTTCTAAGACAAGTACATCTACACATAATAGTTGTTCTACAAAAATGTACATCGACTACATACTCTCCCAGCAGTTCTACAAACATGTGCATCTCCTACATACTTACTCTACCAGCTGCTCAGCTATGTGCAGGTTCATGTAGGTTCTCAAGGTTGCAGCTACCAGATTTTCTAGCCAAAAGATCAAAAAGCAACACAATTTCAATGCTGCTACCACAACAAACACCAGCCTCCTAGATATTCTTCTTCTGTCAGTTAGTTGTGTACCCTTTACAGGACGCTGCAGAACCAACCCTGGCCTTTTTTGGCTGTTGTGGTTTTTCTTGGCAAATTTTACGTTCAGTAGTTTGCCACTGCTCTGTGAAGGTTAGCTCATGGTACCACTGTCGAAACCAATGCAAGATAAACTGTCCGCAGCTAGGATCGAACTTAGTGCTCCGGTATTACGTGTTTGGAACGCCTAAGCCACAGATGCTGGCTCTTCTTCTAAGCTCACCCATAAATGGGGCAACTGGCACATAGTGTTGTGGTTCACAGCTAGGCTGCCATCTCTGTGCATTTTGGCCCAACACATCCGATACTCCCAGAGATTCTTATTTTTCTTCTGTTGGCACACTGTCCTGTGGTCTATACAGTGTATCTGAATTAGTCATCTTTTACAGCATGCTTGATGGGAGTTAAGGGTGGGTGGGAGTATTCTTCCACCCTCCCAAAATTGGGGTAACCCTCCCAGATATGAAGAGCTAGCACTTCACAGATAACAAATTTATCTGTGTGTTACCAGTATCCATAAAGCAATCAAAAGAATGTTTACAATTTAACCCACCTTGCATATCATAAGAGACTACAAAGAAGGGTTGGCTTGGGGCTGGCTAGTTAATCTCATAAAAGCTTAAGCTGCCATTAAGAGGGCATAAACCAGTCTAATATTGTGTGCTGTCTGCAGAATAAAGGTTGGCTACAGTGTACAAAGTGCTTTTTTTTTTTTTTATATTATGTGGCAAGAGCCGAAATCTATTCTCTTCCAGGGTGTGAATCTCATATCTTTATACACAAATCTTAAAAGCAGAAAATTTTTTTTTTTTTTTAAATTAACCACGACTGAAATGTAACCCTAGTGCTTGAGAATCATGAAACTGTTAAACGCATGCACTAACCCCTTAGCCACAGAACTGCACAAGTCTATGAAGAGCTTAATAGTAGTTTGATGAAAACTCAACAGTAAATGAACATCCAAATGGTTTATTCAACATCATGATGTATATTCAAAACAATCCTGCATGATCGCTAACGTGTATAAATAAATTCATGTGACAGTAACTTCCCAGGCCAAGAAGCGAGGCGGTCTAGAATCTTCTCTCACATGAAATCCGCTGTCTCCTGTGCCATGAATTTTATCAGTGCACCAAAAAAAAAAAAAGGACGTAAAGAACCCTTTTCACAGGTATATGTGGCTAGACCAATTGGCCTCAATGGGCCATCATGCTGGCCGCTTTTACTTCCCAGGACTTTACTGGTATCTATTTTAGGCTGGGTCGACCTGGGAGCCAAGATTGTTTCTAGGAAAGAAAAAAAAAAAATAGACCCATTGCCCACCTAACAAGCATGTTGTATCTTTGTATGTATGTATGCCTGTGTGTATGTGTGTATGCATGTTTGTTTGTATGTATGTGTGTATGTATGTATGCCTGTATGTGTGTATGTATGCAATGTATGCATGTATGTGTGTGTAAGTGAGTGGGTGAGCGTGTGTATGTGGGTGTATGCATGCACGCGCGGGTTTTTGCATGCACTTTACAACTCATGCTTTTGTGTTCTTTTATAATATTCATAATATGCATATCATCATATGATCATAACATGCTTTATTAGTAAAATACAATTGCTGTGTGAAAGATGGTTGACTGGAAGGGCCGAATGTAAGACGGGCCTGCGTGCCCAATTTGTGACCCTTTGAAAATAAAGTTCGTTCGTTCGTTCATTCGTGCGCTGTGAAAGGCAACTGTTTAGGGGTGTTTTCACTGAAGTCAGAGTGCATCTGTTTGAGATGACAAAGCAACAGTCTGCATACAAACAGGAGAGATCTGTAAAACAGATGTGCACGCAGAACTCAAGTCCTAGAACAAGACTAAAGTCTAAAAGTGGATGAAAAAAAACCCATAAATTTATGCCGGAGTTTACAACTCGTGAACATGAAGAAGCAGAAGATACACCAAGAGTCATTTAGTATAAAAAAAGATCCTCCAATCTGAAGCTGATACTCACTCCAGGACTCCGGCATTTTGGCAATAGCAAGAGGTACAATGTCATCAAATGTGGCATCTAACACCTGAAAGTGGGCAAAAAAAGAGCACAAATTCCAACCTGGATATATTTCTGATGAGGTTTATATACCACTAATACAAACCTACAACAAAGACAATCAAGTTATAAGACAAAAGGCACCAATACAGAAATGCAACCATGTGAACATGAACATTAAAAGAGTACTATTCAACACAATATTCTTACCAAATGCCATTCTATCAGTGTCAAACATGGACAGTCTTCAGAAAACTGTTTCATCTTATTCCAACTACTTATTTGCATGTAACTAATAATTTTGTATACCACGTTGGTTTTTCGCTTTGATGCCCAGGTATAGGAGACACTTATGTTCAGGGTCTCAGGTCTGGCAGGGTTAAGATGGCGTGGAGGGGTTGCTATAATGACTTTCTTGGGCTATCGCATTTTCAGCTTGAAATATTAGTAGGATGTTCCGTTTTCAGCTTGAAATATTAGTAGGATGTTCCGTTTTCAGCTTGAAATATTAGTAGGATGTTCCGTTTTCAGCTTGAAATATTAGTAGGATATTCCGTTTTCAGCTTGAAATATTAGTAGGATGTTCCGTTTTCAGCTTGAAATATTAGTAGGATGTTCCGTTTTCAGCTTGAAATATTAGTAGGATGTCCTGTTTTCAGCTCAATATTAGTAGGATGGTCCTGTTTTCAGCTAAATATTAGTAGGATGTCCCGTTTTCAGCTTGAAGTAAAGTAAAATAAATTTGCTGCATCAGTTTCAAAGTGGTAACACATGGGGTTACTTCCATTCATGACAAAGAATGGATTAGATAGGATAGAGGACAGAGTGGATAGAGGAACAGACTGCCGGCTCTATGTATGTATAACTGGACATGATGATAAGGATGATGATGATGATATGATGATGACAACAATACAGAGAGTAACAGACTGCTAGTCTGTTTTATATAACCAGCACAACATGATGATAAGGATGATGATGATGGTGATAAAGATGCTGATGATAATACACATTAACAGACTACAAGCTCCATATGATATATAACTGGCACAACATGAGGATAAGGATGATGACGACGACGATACAGAGAGTAACAGACTATGAGCTCTATGTGATGTATAACTGGCACAACATGATGATGATGATGATGATGATACAGAGAGTATCAGACTATGAGCTCTATGTGATGTATAACTGGCACAACATGGTGATGATGATGATGATGATACAGAGAGTAACAGACTATGAGCTCTTTGTGATGTATAACTGGCACAACATGATGATGATGATGATACAGAGAGTAACAGACTATGAGCTCTATGTGATATATAACTGGCACAACATGATGATGATGATGATGATACAGAGAGTAACAGACTATGAGCTCTATGTGACGTATAACTGGCACAACATGATGATGATGATGATACAGAGAGTAACAGACTATGAGCTCTATGTGATGTATAACTGGCACAACATGATGATGATGATGAGGATGATACAGAGAGTAACAGACTATGAGCTCTATGTGATATATAACTGGCACAACATGATGACGACGATGATGAGGATGATACAGAGAGTAACAGACTATGAGCTCTATGTGATATATAACTGGCACAACATGATGATGATACAGAGAGTAACAGACTATGAGCTCTATGTGACGTATAACTGGCACAACATGATGACGACGATGTTGACGATACAGAGAGTATCAGACTATGAGCTCTAAGTGATATATAATTGGCTTAATATGATGATAAGGATGATGATAATAATGATGAACATACACAGAGAATAAACTGCAAAACTCTGTGTGATGTAAAAATAAAATGGGACAATGATGACCACATATACAGACCACAAACTGAATATCTGGATAGCTCTTTGCCGCCCAAGAAGCCGTGTAGCCACCGATAGACCAGGCAAACAGGGCGATGTTATCAGGGCTGAAACCAAGCTTATGGATGGCATACTGTATCACAACGTCAATCGCTCGCTGCTCCTGCTCTGGAAAAGGAACACCCTGAAAAAAAAAATAGAAAACAAAATCAGTGAATGAATCTTCTTCTTCTTCCTGGCATTCATCGGCTCTAAACTTCTGCAGAAAGTTCTGGTTGTTTATCCACTTCTGGACATCAGTCTAAGTAAGTAAGTAAAGTAAAAGCCCCTTTTCCACGTCTTTAGGCGTATTGGGCATATAGGACTAGACCTATATTTTTATAGACCAATCGGCACAAGATGGATGTTGTGGTCAGCATCACGCCGGCGGCCTTCACTTCCCGGGACTCTAACCAGCACCCATTCAAGGCTGGGTCGACCTTGGAGTCAAGGTCATTAAAAAAAAAAAAAGTCCGCCTGCACCCTGAAGCGAACCCACAATCTTCTGGTCCACAGCGACTCCTCAGACTTCAGTCATGTTCCAGAAAGTGAGGGATGTGAGCGCATCGGTTGTACAGATCTGGCTTATTTGTATGCAGACTGCGGGTTCTTCACTTTCAGGCAGATGCACGCCGACTTTGAAGAAAAACACCCTTAATTAGTCTATTTTTTGACATGCTTGTTAAGGGGAAGCAGTGGGTTCCTTCGACTCCCCACACACCAAATGGGGTCCCAGAACCCCATGTGGGTGAATTAATGAATCAAAAACTGACATTCACTAGACTCTGGGCATTCCCACATGTGCTCTGCCTCCCCCTCAGTAGCCAACAAAGAGCTCCCATACTGATGATGGTGCTAGTTGTAGTCTGATTAAAACCAGGCATTTCCCTGCCTGTTGAAACCCATCCAGATCCTTTGTCCTAATCCCTTCTGAATCATTCTCCCTAGATATGGACACTTGATCCCAGAGAGCCTTCACCACTTCCAGTTTATCACAAAGTAGCTCATCACCCAGAGGCAAAGCAACAACCGATCTATCAGTGAAAACTGATACAGCAGACATCTAAATAAAGACTGGTTTTTTTCTTCTGTTTACTGCTTACATCAGGGTAGCAGTAGGTCGTGTGGTAACTAGAATGCTTGCTTGCTAGCTAAATGCCTGTCAGTCAAATGCCTGCCTCCCAATCCACACTTCCCTGCTAGCTAAATGCCTGCCAGCCCACACTTACCTGCTAGCTAAAGTCCTGCCAGCCCACACTTACCTGCTAGCTAAATGCCTGCCAGCCCACACTTACCTGCTAGCTAAATGCCTGCCAGCCCACACTTACCTGCTAGCTAAATGCCTTGCAGCCCACACTTACCTGCTAGCTAAAGGCCTGCCAGCCCACACTTACCTGCTATCTAATGCCTTGCAGCCCACACTTACCTGCTAGCTAAATGCCTGCCAGCCCACACTTACCTGCTAGCTAAATGCCTGCCAGCCCACACTTACCTGCTAGCTAAATGCCTGCCAGCCCACACTTACCTGCTAGCTAAATGCCTTGCAGCCCACACTTACCTGCTAGCTAAAGGCCTGCCAGCCCACACTTACCTGCTAGCTAAAGGCCTGCCAGCCCACACTTACCTGCTAGCTAAAGGCCTGCCAGCCCATACTTACCTGCTAGCTAAATGCCTGCCAGCCCACATCTACCTGCTAGCTAAATGCCTGCCAGCCCACACTTATCTGCCAGCTAAAGGCCTGCCAGCCCACACTTACCTGCTAGCTAAAGGCCTTGCAGCCCACACTTACCTGCTAGCTAAAGGCCTGCCAGCCCACACTTACCTGCTAGCTAAATGCCTGCCAGCCCAAGCTTACCTGCTAGCTAAAGGCCTGCCAGCCCACACTTACCTGCTAGCTAAAGGCCTGTCAGCCCACACTTACCTGCTAGCTAAAGGCCTGCCAGCTCACACTTACCTGCTAGCTAAATGCCTGCCAGCCCAATAGTCATAAGTTTGAATTTTTTAGTGGAGTCAGATTTAAAAAAATTAGGGATCCTAAGTAGATCCAGTCTAAAATTACCAATAGGATTCCAAGTGCAGGTTCCTGTGCACCAGTTTGAAAAGCAAAATACAAACAGACTTCCCTGACCCTTAACCAAGCATGTCATAAATGGCAACTAATAAAGGCTCTGATGACACTGGATGTGTTAGAGCAAGAATTACAGATACTGCAGTCCAACTGTAAACCACAGCACGTGCCAACCACTCTTTTAAGGACGAGTGCAGAAGAAGTTTTATCAATACTTACTGTGCTACCCCCAAATCCTGGGTGATTCCAGCTAAGAACTGAGTAGCCCAGTTCCAATGGAGTTCCGGAGCAGCCAAGCTCATAATAACCTGCATTACCTTCAGATGTTATTACCTGGGGGAGACAAAATTAAAACTGTTGAAGCCTTTTTTTCTTTCCTTTTCACACTTGGGTTTGCTTGTCTGCTGAGTGGTCGGTGTCCCATCCTGAGTGGTCTGTGTCCAATCCTGAGTGGTCTGTGTCCAATCCTGAGTGGTCTGTGTCCAATCCTTAACGGTCTGTGTCTAATCCTGAGCGGTCTGTGTCCAATCCTGAGTGGTCTGTGTCCAATCCTGAGAGGCAGATTTTTTCCCTCACCAGTATGACTTTGGGGTCAATCCAGTTTCATAAAAATGGGTACCAGTTAATTTGTAAAAATTCTCAGTCAACATGTCATAAAATTGTCATGGAATTAGGGTCCCATAAGGGGAAAAAAAATGTCATAATTACTGATTACCACACAATCTTTTTAGCAGCAGCAGCAGCATTAGTGTCCACAGTAGCAGCAGCAGTAGTAGTAGTGCTAGCAGTAGTAGGAGGAGGAGAGGAGTAGTAGAAGAAGCAACATCAGCCATAGTAGTAGTAGTAGTAGTAGGAGGAGGAGTAATAGTAGAAGAGCAGCAGCAGCAGGAGTAGTAGTAGTAGTAGTAGTGCAGCAGGGATTTCAACTTGGATGCAGACAAGTCACCCCATAATTGCTAAAGCACTAGGAACTGTTGTGGAAAGTAAAACTGACCAAGCATCCTCTCCTTCTTCTTTGTTCACCAGCTGTAAGCCCTTGCTGAAAGTCTTGGTTGTCCATCCATTTAGACTTTGGACTTTGTGCCAGGGCCTGAGTTTTGCGTGTACATCCATTTTACTGGCTCATTTGTGTACAGCTGGTTGTTCCTCGTCGCTCAGGCAGATGCACTCCAACTTCGAAGGAAGCCTCCATTGCTTGACTCCTGTGACATGCTTGCTGGGGTGTTAGCTTGACTGCAGTTACCCCTATTTTCACCACTTGCTGGGGTATTAGCTTGACTGCAGTCACCCCTATTTTCAACACTTGCTGGGGTATTAGCTTGACTGCAGTTACCCCTATTTTCGCCACTTGCTGGGGTATTAGCATTACTGCAGTTACCCCTATTTTCCTCACTTGCTGGGGTATTAGCTTGACTGCAGTCACCCCTATTTTCCTCACTTGCTGGGGAGGAAGTGGGTCTATTCTTGTTTTTCCCACAATGGGGCCCCGGAAACCACACAGCGAGACCATAATTCCACAAAGATTATTCTTTGAAAGCATAGGTCATGCACCTTCTGCCACACGTACTACAGTATGAAGGCAGTCCTTAACTTATTCTTCTTCCTGGACAAGGAACCCTGACCTCAGAGTGGCCTAACATAAAATGACTGCTGCATATACTGGCAGGTGTTGATTTGATTCGTAGTTGATTTGATTCAAGAACTGACATCACAGAACTCTGCGCATTCCCATAAACGCTTTATCCCTATCTTCAGCAGCCAATGCAGAGTTCCAGTACCAACAGTGCCAGTAGCAGTCTGATTATATGTCTGTCTTGCCTATCCTCTCAGAGTTGAGTATTAGCCAAAGCAGGTGTAATGGCAGTGTTACAGACAAAAAGTTGGTGTGTTTCAACTGTTAGGAAAAGGAATAGACTTGAAAACTCAGTAAAAACTCAGTAATGACTGGCAAAATTAATGAAAAAATCTGCAAAGGGAAGGTAAAGAAATAAATACCTGGATGGCTTAGCCGAACGGATGGGGGCCGGCAGCCCTACAAGACAAGAACACTGATCTGTGATTCTGGTGATCGTGTGAGACAGCAAAACATGCTTACAGGCCTAGTAATGACACAGGACAGAAATTAACTACTTGTCTTACAAGATTCAGCATTTCAAGAATTGTTAACAGCGGTATAAGTAGCTTCTTACCAAAGTGTTTCCATTCAAGAACTGTAGCTTCCGACTTACAAACATTGTGTCTATAAAATTTCCATCCTCTGTTTGCAGTTTGGCACGTTTACCTTCATGCTGTTTGAAGACATAAATTGATGTTCAAATTAGTAATATTTACTTGTGTAAGATGTAAATATTTGTTTGTTTAGAATAAAGACAAGGAGCGAGAGAATGAAACAGAAACTTGGCAGCTGGGGCTCAAGAATCTGGCATGAGGAAATATGTCAAGAATATGGTAGCTGGAAGTCAAGAACATAGCAGTTCTGGGTCAAGACCTGGTGGCTGGAAGTCAAGAACCTGAGAGCTGGAAGTCAAGAACTTGTGGCTGGAAGTCAAGAACAAGGTAACTGGTAGACAAAAACCAGGTAACTGGGAGTCAAGAACATAGTAATTGAAAGTCAAGAATCTGGTAACTATGAGTAAAGAACCTGGTAACTGAGAGTTAAGAACATGGTAATTAACAGTCAATAACCTGGTAGCTGGTAGTCAATAACCTGGTAACTGGGAGTCAAGAACCTGGTAGCTGAGAGTTAAGAACCTGCAGTCAGAAATTTGGCAACCCAATTGTAAACTTACAAACAATTTTTGAAAACATATTGCCTTATTCAGGTTAAAATACAATAAGTGTAGATGTGGCAAGATAGGGAGTATGGAAGCATCTACGTCTACAGTATTTCTGAGGTTTAATTTCATTTTCTAGTTAGCTTTTTATTGTCCAAGTTTCTGCACCATACAGCAAGATTGAGCATGCATAACATTTGACAAATCTCATTATTAATGTGTTTATCTCTTTTCTTCTTCTTCTGCCTTCGATACCCCAATGGAGCACAGGCGACCAACCCATGCCAGGTTGTTCTATCCTTCACTACTGCATGCGGCTCACCCATGTCCTCCCCAATTTTTTTAACTTTACTCTCTAGCTACATTCTCCAGGACTTTTTGGTCTGCCTTTATTTCTTTGCCCCTGTGGGTTCTAGTGCAAAAACATTCTAGTTAAATTATCCTCAGGTTTTCTCAACGTATGTCCTTTTTAACGCTAGCGTCTTTTCTTCATCTCCTGGCCCACTGGAACTTTATTAGTTCTCTCCCAAAGCTCAACATTAATGATTCTATCAGACCATTTAATGACCTCTTGTTTCTATTTCCCGATCTATTCTCCCATTTTCCAAGAATATACTTCATAGATATTTAAAATTTTTAACTTGTTTCAGACAGGTAACATTCAACCCTATACATAGCGGACTAGGGATTGTTTCAACTAACAAAAACCTAATAATAAAAATACAAAGAATATTTGTAACAACTTGCCTCTTCCACCAATGTAGCCCTTCCAGTTTTAAGCATGTTTCCTGAAATAAACAGCAACCAAACAAAGACAAACAAATTAGTCAAAGTGATCAGGTGGCTTCAAAACACACCCACAACTTGGTTTCAAAGACTCCTTTTAATTGATATCTTATTTTTCTCTGTTAAACCTTCAAATGGCAGTTGAGGAAGGCCATGATAGCCGCGACTTTTCTGCACAACGCATCTAATTTCAGCAAACCTTTTTAATCCCCTTTCACAGTATGCTTGTTAAGACGGCGGGGTATCCTATTCAGAAGGCACAAAACCTTTTTAGTCACCTTTTACAATATGCTTGTTGAGATGGCGGGTGTCCTATTCAGAAGGCAGCAAACCTTTTTTTAAGTCATCTTTTACAATATGCTTTTTAAGATGGCGGGGTGTCCTATTCAGAAGGCAGCAAACCTTTTTTTTAGTCACCATTTACAATATGCTTGTTAAGATGGTGGGGTGTCCTATTCATAAGGCAGCAAACCTTTTTTAGTCACCTTTTACAATATGCTTGTTGAGATGGCGGGTGTCCTATTCATAAGGCAGCAAACCTTTTTTTAGTCCCCTTTTACAATATGCTTGTTAAGATGTCGGGGTGTCCTATTCAGAAGGCAGCAAACATTTTTTAGTCACCTTTTACAATATGCTTGTTAAGATGGCGGGGTATCCTATTCAGAAGGCAGCAAACCTTTTTTTAAGTCACCTTTTACAATATGCTTGTTAAGATGGCGGGGTATCCTATTCAGAAGGCAGCAAACCTTTTTTTTAAGTCACCTTTTACAATATGCTTGTTAAGATGGTGGGGTGGTCATATTCAGAAGGCAGCAAACCTTTTTTTTAAGTCACCTTTTACAATATGCTTGTTAAGATGGCGGGGTGTCCTATTCAGAAGGCAGCAAACCTTTTTTAGTCACCTTTTACAATATGCTTGTTAAGATAGCGGGGTGTCCTATTCAGAAGGCAGCAAACATTTCTTAGTCCCCTTTTACAATACGCTTGTTAAGATGTCGGGGTGTCCTATTCAGAAGGCAGCAAACCTTTTTAGTCAGCTTTTACAATATGCTTGTTAAGAGGGTGTTGGGGGGTCCTATTCAGAAGGAAACACCCCTAATTATATAGACTCTACAACAAGCGTGTTGGGGAAGGGAGAGGGTGTGGGCGGGAATTGATCTATTCTTTTTTCTCCCTGCAATAGGGCCCAGGAACCCATACAGAAGTTTTCTGATACTGTGATAAGTAGATTTACATCTAAGCTTCTTCCACACAATTTAGCCCAATATTATACTTTCATTTACAAATAAAATTTGTCTTGTGGTAATAACTGGCAGCTCTAATGCCTCTGCAAGGTAATGGTGATCAGTAGTAGTAGCTTCTTTCAAATTCAGAATGCATTTGTCCGAGAGGCAAGGAACAACCAACTGTAAACAAACAAGCCAGTAAAACATACGTAGATGGAAAATTTAGGTACGGGCACAAAGCCAAAGTCAAAATGGATGAACAACCAGAACTTCCACTGGAGCTTACAGCCGGTGAACAAAAAAGAGAAAGATGTAGTAGTAGTAATAGCTGAGGTTTCAATTTCAAAGCAAATTGGTGATCCCCTAATTGCTCCATTTCTGAGCCAGTGAAAAAAAACATAAAATGTCAAATCTGAAAGCTAGTAAATAGTGAACTAGTCCCGGCATCTCAGCAAAGAAAACATAAAAATTACTTTGTTTGCAAAATAACATACCAAAAATCTGGGTTAATCAGGGTAAAGACTCAATATCACAGTATTCAGGACAAGCCCATATTAGCTCTGCCTCAACAACCAGCGAACAGCTTCCTATAATTGATGGTACTTGTTATCTTGTTAACTACTCGTCTTCTCTGTCCACTGAGTCTCAAGTGGTGCCCCGTGCCCGTAGACACTTCCCACTGTATCAGTCTCTTCAGGTACTGGTTTTCAATATCTTATACCCAGAATAATGCACTGAAAGGTGTCTGCACTAATTTACTCTATGGCTAGGAAGGTGAAAGGGGAAAAAGGTGTGACCCTGTCGTGGCTGAGTCGTTTGCCTCACTCTGTAATCGTAATGGTCCTGATTGAATTCAAATCGTGGGTACTGGTGTTTCAGAGATACCTTGGTGGTCATCACTGAAGCAACTGAGTTTCATGTTTTGGTGATGTTCTTGAAGGGCCAAAACAAATCGACAAGTGAGGGCTCCAGTCAATATGGAGGATAGAGATGTTAAATTTGTTTAGTCATGGCAAGTTTTTGCGTCTGACCATAGTTAGCTGTTGCATTTTCTTCCATATGTAGACTGAAAAGATATAGTTCCATTGCACAGCTACTGAGATAAGTTCACGGCACAACACTGTGAGCTGCGGATTTAATTTGGAATGCTTTTCGACCATGTCCAACGTGGTTCGTGTTGTGAACTGCAGATTTAGAAAATGATCAGTGGCCTGCTAAAAGAGAGCTTGTGGTGCCTTATACAATTAATTGCGTGTGCAGATCTATTATAACTCTTGCTTCCCTCATCAATGAATTGTATTTCTAGTGTTGGACTGTTTGTGTTGGCACTTCTGACTGCTGCCTTATGCAGTCTGTGTCATTTTTTTCCCCATAAAGGAGAGAGATGGACATTCAGTGTGAGTTTCACTGGCACGGGAAACAACCACGGAGGTGACTCGTTTGCTATAAACTTTGAACTGCAATTACCGGATTACCCCGGGAGAGACTGAAGTTAATTAATACAACCCTGAAACTCTACCACATTTTTTATCAACAAAGTTAGTTGTATATTTTATTTGTCCTCTTTTTGTGTGTGCGCTCCCTTAAAAGGGTGGTTGGTACTTTGTGTTCACTTTACAACCAGGCAAATCCATAATTAATCACTTTTTATGACATGCTTATTAGGGAAAAGTGGGTCTATTCTCTCGGCCCCCCCCCCCCCCCACACACACACCAAAAGGGGTTCCAGATCCTACACTGGAAGTGTTACAAATCTATTACAGGCATTCACCAGTTTACCCTAAAATTTGTTGACTGTTTGCAGTTTTACCAAGCAATTTTATGTTCAGTAATTTGCCACTGCTTTCTGATTGATCCGATGATCATTCTGAAGTCAAAATCAGAGCAAAATGGTCTCTGACAAACTGCAGGCAGCTAACTTCAAAACCATTAATGTGAAATTATGAAACTGCATGAGCAACTCTAAACTGAAGGGGTGGAGTCTTGTCAATGAGCATTTGATCAAGTGTTATCAAAATGAAATAACTAACCCAGTAAATAGTTCATAATGCTAGTGGCTCCTGGATACACCATTCTGCGACCAAATGTGTTTATGGCAAGGTAACTGCAAAATTCAAAACACATAAATGGAATCAATCATGCATCTCAATTATGTGCAAAGACAGCAAATAAAATGGTTTGCCCATTCATAGAGAATGTCTTGTGTCACCATACCATATAAGGCAAACATAAAAAAAAAATAAGAAAGAGGTAGAGCACGGAGTAGACCAAGAACAAGATGGAAAGATAATATCAGAGAAACTCTACAACAACACGATGTGTCTATGGTCGAGGCAGCCAGAAGAGCAAGAAGCTTAATCTTATATCTCGTCTGACACCTGAAGGAGTAAAAGAGGAAGCGAAGAAAAAGAAACAATTAGGCAATATGGTGTCATCTTCACAACGAAGATTGGCTGCAGTGGATCTCCAAAACACCTTGTATGAGTTCCTGGGTATCAGTTTGGTGATGGGAAAAAGAAAGAGATCCTAGATCCTGATTTATACATTTAAGAATCAACATCATAGGACACCATGCACACCCCTAGGTGCTCTGTCTCCCACAGCAAATTTCTTAAGGTCCAGATGCTAACTGCTCCTGTAGCACACTGTTCATAAACTCATCGTTTTCTTCCTCTCGTACGTCCCTCTTTGCTTGATCCACACCTAATTCCTTATTCACAAATTGGTACACATGTTATTTCATCTAGCCTTATGTCTTCTATCAGTATTCGTTTATAAATGGTCTCAAGAATGCCTCCTTTGTCCAGTATGAGTGTACCTCTAGCTATAGCTGTTGTAACTAGAAAATCTGCTCTTTTATTTACTCATACTCCTGCATATCCTGGATAGTATGTCCTCGTAAGTCCCTGCAATGTTGACATGCTAATGTCTGGTATCCACTCATGCCACATTTGTCCATTTCTAACCTTCTATAGTACCGACTGAGAATCGGTCACTATAATTCCTCTGGTTACTCTATTTTCTGCTAACCACTTCAGAGCTGCAGCGACTGCCTCCACCTCCATCCTCATCCTGAAGTTGTAGATGAAAAGCACCATTTTGTTCTGCTATGATCTTTCCCTCTACTCTGGCTAAAAATCCCAGCCAGAATAGGCACACTGTCCCCTTAACAAGTATGTCGTACAAGTAAGGTAAGTGAGCGTTTGATTAAATCAAGTGTGTTGGGCTGAATGGTACAGCTATCATAGCCTAGCTGTAAAATACAACACAACATAGAAACTGCCCCTTTAAGAGTGAATGCTGAAGAAGAAGAAGAAGAAGAAGAATATGAAAAAGAAGAAGAAGAATATGAAAAAGAAGAAAAGAAGAAGAAGAGGAAGAAGAAGAAGAAAAAGGCGATGACAAAGAAGAAGAAGAAAAAGAAGAAGAAGAAGAAGAAAAAGAAGAAGAAGAAGAAGATGAATAAGAAGAAAGAAGAAGATGACGAAGAAGATGAAGAAGAGGAAGAAGAATATGACAAAGAAGAAGAGGAAGATGGCGACCACATGCAGACTGTTGTTTCCCAGCTTCCGACTTCAAAGAAAAACGACGGTCCTATGTAAACTGTGCTGGCCTCTGGCTGGGAACTTGTTTTTAGAATGCCAGTGGAAAGGCGTAGATAGGTCTTGAACCAGTATCAACTCTGTTGATATCTTTTTTATCTGTTGCACAAACACGTGTGGTTCATTCAGCCCCTTCTGCATCCCCCAGTAAACATAAAAGACATACAATCATACCCAAGTATTTTGCAGATACGCTGCTCCTGTCAACAGTTTGTGCCCTTCGAGTGCTAGTGACAGGCTGAGAGCGTTTTTTATCTCTGAAACAAAACATTGTACTGTAATAGTAACAGCAATATGGAAAGATTATTTTTTTAAAACAAATGTTGAATTAAGAATCCACAGCACTCAGGACACTCCCATAAGTGCTGCGTCCCCATTTTCAGCAGCAAATAAAGCGTTACAATTCCGAAGGTACCAGTCACCAAGTGATGCAGAATCATCCACTCTATCTGCTTGTTTGTTTCCCACCTGAAAGGTGCAAATATCACAGCCTAGCTGTAAACCATAACACAGAATGCAAAATGTAATTTCATTTCTCTTATAGTAGTGTATAATGTTCTAATTTCATTCTTATAATTATGATAATGTTCTAATTTCATTCTTTTAGTTATGATAATGTTCTAATTTCATTCTTATAGTTATGCATAATGCTCTAATTTCATTCTTTCAGCTGTGCATAATGCTCTAATTTCATTCTTTCAGCTGTGCATAATGTTCTAATTTCATCCTTATAGCTGTGTATAATGCTCTAATTTCATTAACCCTTTTCCAGACAATCACAGCTAGTTACTCTGGCTGCCCAAGGTATTGAGGTGGATCTAAGGAAACAGAACCATGGACTTGACCGGAGGGGAAAATCAGGAATGGGATAGAGATAAAGGAGAAAATGACTGTAAATATATTACAAGTTCAGCATCTGCGAAGAAGCGTGTTATATACATGTGATAGCAAAAATCGTCAGTCAAGCACATTTGGCCTCTTTCCTCAACATCACTGCAGCTTTCTGTTGGTTAGAGAACACGATACACATAAACACACACATTGTGCTTGTTTGTATCTGGTTCAGAAAGGATGCTGAGAAAGGTATGGACAGGCAAGCTTCATCACAGTGGCATCCTTCACTATGGAGGTCACTGGTGGAGAATATTGCCTGGATCTTTTCTTTGGGGCCATGCCAGTGTGTTGTGAAATGAACAGGCAGGCAGACTAGCTGTCTTTGCCTAACCTAGTGGAATACTGATGCATGATTTGATAAGGCAGACATGGTTAAGGCCTTATGGAAGCACATGTACAATTTGGATCAGCAAACTGATCATCACAGTCCATACTCGACACTTAGAGAAATGGCAAGATAGAGATATAATCAGACTACTACAAGCACCACTGGTATTGGAACTATACTGACTGTTAAAGATGGAGACAGAGCACTTATGGGAATGCCCAGAGTGCCATCATGTCAGTTTTTAAATCAGCTCAACTCATTAACGTTTGCCTTAAAGTTTAATTTGTACCTCATCAGTTTTAGCCTCAATCCATTTGTTTCTCATTTAAGTGCCTGTTTGCTGATTCTCAGTTTGTGTCTCCTCAGGATGTGTCCAATAAAACATCATCTTCTTTATTTTATTACTACATAACATAACATAACCCTTGACCCGCTAGGGTCGTGAAGATGTATTGACTGAAGCACTAGTACACAAAAGCCAACATCTTTCTCTGTCTTCTGCCTGTTAAACAGATGTATAGTAATTTAATCTGACCATTTCGTGATGTTGCCCCCCCCCCCTCTTCTTTGACTACCCTTCCAATGTTCCATGAAGTACAGTCTTTGCAATCGAACCATGTCTCACTGGTGTCCGAACCAAGTTAGCTTGTGACGTTTCACCACTGCCAGAGGTGCTGAGCCTCAAGATGCAGGGGGTATGAAGTGTTGGTGTTGTGAGTAGTGGTTTTTTCCCCCCTGACTTCAAATGAGGTCTAGTGAATATCTGTTCACGAAAGGAGCGTCCACTGCCGTGGCAGCCTCTTGACCTAGCATAACCTCTCTTACCCCAAGACTACTGTGCTTGGTGAAGAGCCATATCCTCATCGAGGTATTCCTGGTAACTTGGGGTGTGAATCCCCAAGCAGAACACAATGCATCTAGAGGAGCAAAAGGCGACAATAAAGCTGATGCACCACACCGTACTGCCCTCTGTGAGAGTGAAGGAGCCAGAGGGGCGCTGAACAGTCTTAGGAGTGGAAACATGTTTGTTTACCCCCTCCCCCCGAAAACTGGAAACTATTGCAAAGGACGTGACTTAGAGCTATGGAGAACTCAGCAAAACCAGCAGGCAACCTGGTGGCGGAGAATGAGCACACCGCTAGCCCCATCTTAGCTATGTGCCAAAGGGGAAGGTAGAAACATAACCTATATTTCGTCCATCACTATGGAGACAGCACATGAATGATCCATTTTCATTTGTGTTACTTTAATCTTTTTCTTCTTCACGTTCATTGGCTGTAAACTCCAGCAGAAAGTTCTGGGTATTCGTCCACTTTCGGACTTTAGTCTGGCTCCAGAACCTGAGTGTTGCAGGCACATCCATTTCTCAGATCTGGCTTATCTGTATGCAGACTGGTGGTTCCTTGCCTCTCAGGCAGATGTACTCCGGCTTCAAAGGAAGTCCCCAATTAGCCGTCTCCTACAACATTCTTGTTGGGAAGGAAGTAGGTCTACTTTTGTCCCCCCCCCCCCCCCCCCACAATGGGACCCCAGAACCCATGTGGGAAATGTCGTTTTAATAAATAAAATATATAAAAGAACCAAATATATAAAAGAAAAATGTAGGTCACACCGATGGACTAATATCTTGTTACAGACAACATGCAACAAATAAAATGTTTGATGACTTACTTTTTTGCCATTCCTTCATTCCACACAAAATCTACTGGTGCAGCCCAAAAGTCAAAATCATATTGAAGTAATTCTCTCTGGGGAAAAAAAAAAGGCAGATTCCATTGGCGATTTGAACCTCCATCTACATGTCTAAAGGCCCTGATCCTAATGACAGCATTAACCATCTAACAAGAAGGGACCAGGCCACCATCTCCAGACTTAGAACGCAACATACTCCATTCAGTGGACATCTAAACAGAACACAGCCACAACACTCCCCAGAGTGCCAGCTATGTAACTACCCAAACGAAACTGTTGAACACCACCTCTTTGAGTGCCCAAAACTCAGCGAGACTAGAAGAATGCTACTCCCTCCAAGACCAGACAAGTGGAACACCTTGTACGGAGGAAAAGAACAGCTTGTGAAAATATGTAAATTCCACTACATGGCATTGGGCCAAAGTGCGAAAGCTCATGCGCTGCTGGATCGATAACAACAACAACAACATGTCTAAAAAAATTGTAGTCACTTTCACTACAGCCAATCATTTTGTCTTCTTCTTCGATCCTCCTGTCAGAAAACTTATATTAGGAGGCCAGTAGTCATTATGGCTAACACAAAGTAAAGTAAAGGAAACCTTTTCAAGCCTTTAGGCATATAGGGCTAGACCTATACTTTATAGACTAATCAGCACTCGAAGGGTAAAGCAATCAGCACCCGCTGGCCATCTGTACTTCCTAGGACTTTACCTCGTATGTATTAAAGGCTGGGTTGACCTGGGAGCCTAGGTAATTTTTTTTTTTAAAGTCTGGCTACGCCAGGACTGAAACTTGCGACCTTCTGATCTGCAGGCGAGCACAGTCTGAATCTTCCCATATACTACACCACTTTGTCCTGATGGACTTGGAAATTGGTCAGATGGTTTATCTGAAAGCATACAGTTTACAGTATCGAAATACAGGCTCAGCAGTGTCCACATTTCCAACACTAAGAGAACTGAATATAACCATTGGGTCATCGTCTTCCTCTTCTTCAACACTACAAACCCTTGAGGTTAATTGATGCAGATATCACCCACTCACATTCATCTCAGGGACTGGCCTTCTATTTTCAGTTGGTGACTCCAAGTGTATACGGGTTTACCTGCATATGATCTTTTCACATCCTCTTGGTCTGCCTCGTGGTCTACCCCTATTCAACTCTTTTGGGTGTGTGCTTTTTGTCTCTCTGGCATCTGCAATTCTCTACATGCTCCAACCACTGTTATTATTATGCTGCCGAAAATTGTAATATAGGTGGCAAAAAAACTAAACAATATTATACAATAAAATAATAGTCCAAAGCATCAGACATGTATGGTTTCTCAGTGCAAGCTGTATGACATACAGTAAATGAACACAAAGTTTGATTTTTAAAAAAGTGGTGCTAATACTTCTAGTCATATTAATGCGCAGCTGTACATCATTACTGCAGTAATGTTACACAGGGAAGATAGAATAAAATATGAAAGCAGAATTCAATTTGAAGGCAGAATTGAAAATGAAGGTAGAATTAAATATGAAGATAGAATTAAAAATGAAGGTAGGATTAAATATGAAAATATAATTAAATATGAAAGTAGGATTAAATATAAAGGTAGAATGAAATACGAAGTTAGGATTAAATACCAAGGTAGGATTGAATTTGAAGATAGGATAAAATATGAAGGTAGAATCAAATATGAAGAAAGAATTAAATATGAAGGTAGAATTAAACATGAAGTAAGAGTTATTATTGAAGGATGAATTAAATTTGAAGGCAGAATAACATATGAAGGTAGAATTAAAAAAGAAGATAGAACTAAATACAAAGGTAAATTAAATATGAAGGTAGAACTAAATATGAATACTGTCAGATCAGGAAAGAGCAAAATATAACCCTTCTAAAAACAACTTCAAAAGAAGTCACCAATCGGTCGACTCTTATGACATGCTTGTTGGGGATGCAGTGGGACTATTCTTGTTTCTCCCTCATTGGGACCCCAGAACCCACACTGAGAAACATGGTGATTAAAGTTTTTACCTTATTGTGAGAGGTAGCATTACCACTTCTTGCATTAACCAGAGCTGTAACGAAAGCTCTATAATCAGCATTGATGGCTCGCCCCAGTCCTGAAACAGTCGATACACTGTGGTTAAAAAACAGTCCCATTCTAAAGTCAAAATTTGATAACTTTCTTTTTTTTTTTTCTTTCTTGTAAACACATATCTTCTTTTTTCTGCATTCACCCCTAAAATGGCGGTTGGCACCCCGTGTTGTGGTTGACAGTTAGACTGGTATATGCGTACATTTTGGCCAACCCTTAATTAATTGCTTTTCCCGACATCTTGTTAGGGAAAGGGGGCAGCAGCTCTCTACATATGAGAGTGTATGTGTACGCAGGAATTTTCTCAACCCATTCTGTTGTGTTTTTTTCTTGATATTCATAATATGCATATTATTATATTAACATAGCATGCTTTATTGATAAAATACAACTGCTGTGTGAGAGATGGGTGTTTGGAAGGGTCGATTGTAAGACAGACCTGCGTGCCCAATTTGTGACTATCTGAAAATAAAGTTTGTTTGTTCGCACGTTTCCCCCAACTGGGGCTAGGGAACCCATAATGGCAATATTGTCTCTACAGATACGGAATGTTGACTTCTTCATTGTTTTCTGTGCTGGTGATCTTCTGCTTCAATGTATATCAGACTGGGTGCAGTTTGGGGCGTTTTGAAGACACGCAAAAAAGGTAAACACTGGCAAGTTAAATTAATCAATCAGGTGCCATATCTGCAGTGAGAGTTGGCCAGAATAGATCTCCAATACACTATCTCTTGTCCTGATTATGCACTCTCATCCGCTCATGTGTATCAATGTATACCTCTTGACTGCTTGACTTCAACTGTTATTTTCCGATTCATGCTCACTGTCCCAGCTACAAAATAAACCCTGTGGCCCAGTGCAGCACTTACTGATGGAGGTAGTCCAGCTATGGACATGATGGACATAAAAGAGAGCTGTGAAGCCTCTTTCTCTGCCCTTTAAAGGTCATTACAGCAAGCAGAGATCCTCAGTCAACTAACAGACTGTTTTATCATTTGCCATTGTCCGTAGCTGTACAATCAACTATACTCAAAAGTAACAGCTTTTCAGGCAAAATACATGGCCATAGGCCTGTGTCTGCACTAGTAAAACAGGCAGCTACTTGACAGTGTGGTTGATTTTGTTTCTCTAGGAAGGATTAATTTATTGGCTTCAAACAGACTGAAATGGCTGAGGCACATAGAGAAAATAGCAGATGACAGAGAGGCAAACCAGGCAGATGACATAAAGGCAAACCAGGCAGATGACAGAATGGCAAACCAGGCAGATGACAGAGAGGCAAACCAGGCAGATGACAGAGAGGCAAACCAGGCAGATGACAGAGAGGCAAACCAAGCAGAGGACAGAGAGGCAAACTAGGCAGATTACAGAGTGGTAAACCATGAAGAGGGTGTCACCAACTGGAAAGAGAAGACCAATCACAAAGATGAATGGAGGCAAGGGATATTTTTGCAGCAATGAACCTAAGAGCTCGGAATCCCTGAAGAAGAAGATATATATTCAGTTGTTCCCCTGTGGGTTCCAGGGCCCTATAATGGAGGAGACAAGAATATACCCACTGCTTCTTACAAGCATGTAAAAAAAAAAGGCGACTTACCAGGGTTATTTCTTTTGAAGTCGGAGTGCATCTGCCCAAGAGGCCAGGAACCAACATACAAATAAGCCAGATCTATAAAACTGATGTACAGGCAAAAACTCAAGTTCTGGAACAAGACCCAATCCAGAAGTGGACAAACAACAAGAACTTTCTGCTGGAGTTTATAGCCGGTTGAGTTGAGTCAAGAATTGACATCACAGCACTTGGGGCATTCCCATGCATGCTCCATCCTCATCTTCAGCAGCCAGCGCAGAGTTCCAATACTGATGGTTATATGTCCATCTTGCCTTTCCTCTGAGTGTAATGAGCCGGCCAGACGAGCTGGTTACACACAGGTGCCTCATTCTCTCCAGGCCATAATAATCTTCTTTCTCTAATGATTCTGTTGCTTGCTCCCAAAGGGCCTTGACCACATCTTCCTTATCAGATATTAATTCACCACCCAGTTGTGCAGATCCAGCCAATCTGTCTGCCTGTTCGTTACCCACCATGCCAGCCGGTGAAAGTGAAGAAGAAGAAGAATTACATTCAATTGCTAATATAGTATACTCATGACAAGATACAGCAAAAAAGTGCGAGGCAATAAACTAAGCAAGCTGTTGCTTTGTCTTCTTTGTTGAAACTTATAATGAGAAGACATTACTTTGATTCTGTTGAAAGCTAGTTCTCTGAGTGTTGAATCTTATTATGATGTTCAGTGACAGTTAGTTAGTTACTTAGGTTTACATCATTGCACTCCGGACATGTCTTTAGGTGCTCAGTGCCCTCCCTAGTATGAACCCCAGCGTCTGGTGTCTTATAGTACCAGTTTTACGTTGATTAACAGGTCCTCTGATGTGCCAGGTGTGCATCTTTTGTGTGTGTGTGGGTATGCTGATCTTAACGCTCAAGTCTTTCATTCTGGTGAGTGATGTGCATTCATTCACTGCCCCTAAAGTCCTCCACTTTTCCCATTTCTCGAAGGTTTACACAAATGGGATGCTGAGGTGCATAAGTCAAGACCTATCTTCACCTCTCCAAGGTCATCCTAGACACAGGTGTCCTACTGATAGGGCTGACGTTTACTTCGACAAAAGAGCACATCTTGGAGATGAGGAACTGACAGTCTGCACACAAAGAAACCAGATCGGTAAAACAAATCTACATGCAATACTCGAGTACTATAACAAGACCAAAGTCTGGATATCGATGAAGGACCAGGACTTTTCCTCAGAGTTCACAGCAGCCAAATGCAGAATAAGAAGTGTACATAAATGAGAAAATCCAACTTACCCCTAATTATGTATGCTGCTGCGTACACAGCTGCTAGAGACAGTGCTAGCTTCAGTATATTTAACCCTCCCTCCTGTGTATAATGACCTGAAACAATCCACAAACAGTTTTCAATAATTACCACACACACACAAAAAAACAAAGGCAGTCTTCAAATAATAAAAACATACAGAGCAGAGAAAATTATTTTAGCCAACAAAAGTATGCATGATTTTGAGAACAAAACTCGATGAAAATGTTAGCAAGCTCAAACTGACTACAGCTTCATTGAAATAAAATTGTTTCAAGTTTGAAAGTGTTCAAAGAAGATGTATTAATGAAAAAAGTACATTATACGAAATTTCTTTTATCATTACCCCCCCCCCCCCACCTTGTTTGTTGTTTCTTCTTCTTCTTGTTCTTTTGATCGCCTGTGAAAGGAAGGTTTTCACATTACATTGTAGTTTACAGCTAGGCTGTGATATCTGCTTCTTTCGACCCAACACATCAGATTTCAGCAAATCTTTAATTAGTCGCTTTGTATGACAAACTTTTTAAAAGGCAGTGGGTTAACCTCCCACTTTCCCCTTTTAGAATGGGAGCACAGAAACCACCCAGGAATGTTTGTAGCTCAACTACTGGTATTTCTGTCTTCATCCCCTTTAAGCAACAGAGATGTAGTTTCTGAGACGAATGTTAACAAATACCTTGGACGGCCAGAGTAACCAACAACGACTGCTTGAAGGAAGCTAATGAAAGTAGATCTCTATAAACAACAATGAGAAAGAGACAAACACTGTTCTTTGGCCACATAATGAGAAGAAAGACATTGGAGAACATCGTGACAACTGGAAAGATCAGTAGAAAAAGGGGTGGAGGCAGACCAAGAGAGATTTTATGCTGGATGGGCTGAAATGACAGCATGGAGGGATATCATCAAGAGAGCTGTTCCAGGCAACCAGGAATCGTGATCTGTGGAGTCGCATGAGCGGCTACGCCAGTTAACAGGGCACATGATGATGATGATCCCCTTTAACCTGTAACAATGAGAGTGGCAAGCATCACATCAGAGGCTAGTTAACATTCTTTGGATATTTTCAGATTGGCAAGACTTGGGAGCTGGCGCGACTCAATAGCTAGCAGGCCCTGCCTTGTCTGCTAGGTGGACATAGGTTTAAACCCCTGGAAGTTTTTGGATAAAATCTGATTAAGTCTCCAAATTTTTTCTGCTGCGTTTTCTTTTCGACTCGTTTATTAGGGTAGAGTTTCAAAGAATAACAACAATGTGCTTCTTTTTGACGACATTACGAAAAAAAAAATGTAACTTTAAAGAAATTTACAGGGCAAACGAGGACAGTTAAGTACAAATCAACACATAATCAAATATCTGGGAGGAAGGCGAAGGGAAGACCAAGAAAGAGATGGATTAGTAGTGTAGCTGAAACCTGCAACAACAAAAAATGAACAAATCCATCACTCAAGCCCCGTGAGAAGCGCAAGACACATACAGAAAACCATGACACTGGGAGACAACTCGATATCAGTGAGGCGACAAAAGAAGATGCATTTCTTGGTATCCAAAGAGTTAAACCCAAGACATCCGGGGCAGAAAGTATGCATGCAGCCACTAGCTAGCATTGCTCCCCCATGACTCTTTTCAAAATGAGACCAAAACAGGTTGCATGTCTCTGTCCGAAATCTGTAATAAGTTGTCATTGTAACTAAGACCCTTTCAAGACATTCAGCTTATACGTTTTGCCAGATCGTAATATTTTCAATATTATATTATTGAATATTATGAAAAATGTCATTGAGCTCATGGCATTTGAATGACTGTCTTCTTCTTCTTCTTCTGCATTCACATTTAAAAGGGCTATCAACATGTTGTAAAGGTAAAGTCGGGAGATGTGAACCAGCGTCACTGCACACGGTTATAAACCATAAGTGCTCTGCCACCAGTACCAGCTGATAAGAAACTGTCCGCCTGTGTCACTGTCCGCAGGCAACTCCGTAGCTACAGCAACGCTCCCCTATCTACCCCAGAGTGTTAACTCTGGTACCCATTACCTAGAGGCTGGGTGAACCCCAGGAACCGCCCGGTTTTGAATACTGGTCAGCGAGTTACAGCTTGATTTGAAAGCGAGTCTCCTATCGGCTGAGCTAACGCGGCACGCCATGTTGTACTGCAGTTTACAGCTGAGCTACAATATCTGTTCATTTCAGCTCAATACATATAATCAATCAATCTCTCAATTAAAATGAATCCTTTCTTAGGACATGCTTGTTAAGTGGTAGTAAGTCTAAATATGGGGCTCCAGAACACACACAGGGGAGACTAATTAGATACCGACAAATATATCAATGAATCACAGAACATGCAGTTTCTTACCTCTCTTGTATAAGATCACTCCAATTACTGGAGATGTCATGTAGGTAAGTCCTATAGCCACATTGATCTGTAGATATAAAAACACAATATTCCTTCAGTCGCAGCACTGCCCTGTTCACCCTGACTTGGGCAAAATCTTCTTTGCAATCACCTGCTGTGAACTCCAATGGAAAGTTCTGGTTGTTTGTCCACTTTAATTTTGTTCAGGAATTTTGGTTTTGCATGCACATCTGTTTTACATATCTGGCTTATTTGTATGCAGACTGCTGGTTCCTTGCATTTCAGGCAGATCAACTCCCTCCGACTTCAAAGAAACACCCCTAATTAGTTGACTTTTATTACATGCTTTTTAGGGGAACAGTGGGTAAATCCCCCCCCCCCCCCCCCACAAATATGGAGACAGGGAAATCATCAACTCTTTCACAGGAGAAGCCATGAACCCAACACATCTGTCAGTTCCCAATCCCCAATAAATTCTGCTGAATCCTCACAAATGCAGTGATTTGCATTCAAGAAGCTTAATTAATAGGAATGGTTCTGTTTGTGTCTGCACAATGTTAACGAGGCACCAGATATTATATTTACCAAAAATTGCATTTGGGGCGGTGTTCTTGTAAAACGAAGGGCTTTTAAAAGCTATTTTTATGTCATAGTCTGCATTAAGCCTTTGTGTTAGAATTTGGACATGGTCACAGGGTCACAGTATGAATCACCTGAAACATATTATTTGAAGGCCTAAGGAGCTGTAATCCATTTAATTCTTTACTCCATTCATGTTTATTGATGAATTAATTCCCTTGGTGTTTTCAGAAAAAACATTTTAACATGTATATTTAAAATTAGAAACACTGAAACTCTGATTCAGATGGAGAAATTTAGTCCCATCTAATGAAAACAAGATTAGAGGATGTGACATTGTGGCGTCTCAAACATAGCAGCTTTGTCCACTGGGTGAAAATACTTCAAGGACAGTATCAAGCAAACCTACTCATAAGAACAACACCACTAAAAACCTACCCTATACGTCGCGTGCAAGTCAGCGACAGAATACAGTTAATGACTTCAATCAATGGACTCACAGCTGGAGACAAGTCCAATGACTTTCAAAAACAATCCAGGAAAAGTATCCAAGACTGTTGTGGATACATGCTTACACAGATGGATCAACAACCAGTGCGGTTAACAACAGGGGTGCTGGCATCTTTATTACATATCCAGACAACCACTGCCACACAAAATATACACCCAAAATATATTCTGTTCCAACTGCACAGCAGAGATTCTAGCAGTAGAGCAGGCTGACAAAACATTACACAACACCACCAAATTTCCATCTTCAAGGATGTGCTGTCAGTGCTACAAGTCCTCAAGAGTGGTAAGCTCCCTCACCTGAGATCTGAATTTAGCAAGGCAGCTGCCAAAAAGCACTGTACTCCAGTGGGTGCCACCTCACTGTGGCATAACATAACCCTTGACCTGTTAGCGTCGTGAAGGTATATCGATGGAAGCACTAGCACCCAAAACCCCTCATTTTTCTTTGTCTCTTCCACTTGCTGGACAAGTGTATAATAATTTAGGGTACTTAATTTATAACTTACCCCTGACGTCACGACAACGTCCCGGGAGACATTCCCAAAAAATTCTAGGGTTTTCAGGTTGTAGTTTCTCTCGATTTATCTACAGCACAGTTTAGGGTTAGGGTTAGGATTAGAAGACACTAGATGAACACTAAAAAAAAAAAAAAACAGCACACTTCCACCCCTTTAAATAATGGACTGTCAGGTCAGCTGTGGATTTTCCACGGGGATTTCGTGTTTGGGGTACGTTATAAATTAGGAACCTAATTTAGTCCTGTCCATTTCTTGATGTTCTCATTCCAATTTCTTCTTTGCCCCTCTCTTCTTCGAATATACCCCCCCCCCCCCCCCCCCAATTTTCCTTGAAGTACCGTCGGCCTTTGCAACCAAATCATATCTCACCACATGCCTGAACCAAACTAGTTTGCGACATCTCACCACTGCCAAGAGAGGCTCCTGATTTCCTGCAAATTTGTTTATTTTGTCTCTTTCATATTAGTTAGTTTTATATTCTAAACAGCTGATTGGTAACATTCGCCTATAGTATTTATATTCGAAAGCCTGAACTCTCCAACTCCTACATCCGAATTAGAAAACAGACAATACCAGTGATCTGTAACTATTGGCCTTTACTGCTATGCTGATTTTGCCTTTCCACATCGTACTCAGCTGGGACATTGGGGCTGTTGCCATACCAAGTCTTGTTCTTTCTGATCTCTTTGGTAAAACTACCATTGTAACATATTGTGGGAGCTGAGGCATTTTAAAGTTTCAAAGTTTAATTTTGTTTCCTTTTATCTGTATGGTGGTATACCAGGAAATGAAACTGAAGATAAAATTGCTAAGAAAGGGGCAAAATGTGAACAGGAAAAGAATGCAGTAACACACTGTGAGGAAAAAATCCATCCAGTCAGTCAGAAGTGAACAGAATCTGGCCAGAGATGACTTACCACTAACTTGACCGGCATGGGTAGGTCACCATTCTACGCCTCAGAACAGGGCATAAGAGACTCAACAAGCATTTGCACAAGCTTCATCTGAGTAGTTTACTACTGTGCCCATATGGGCTTGGTGTGCAAACTGTATTACATGTCCTGCAAGAATGTCCTTTGTACAGCTCATTAAGAAGGGAATACTGGCCCAGTCAGTCAACACCATACTCAAATTTGTATGTAGGGAACTAAAAAGGGAACTCCTAAAAATTTTCCATTTTATCACAAGAACTTATCTGTCGGTGTAAATCAGAGAGTGATAACAAGAAGAAGGTAAAGCTACAAGTCAAAAATCCTCTTCTTTTTCTGTCTTTTAACCCCCAATGGAGAACAGGCCATCAAACAACCCATGCCGAGTCTTTGTATCTTTCATTATTGCATGCAGCTCTTTCCATGCTCGCCCATCTTTGTAATTTCACTCTCTAGCTCCCTTCTCTGTGTGTTTTTGTTTTTGTTGGTCTTCCTTTAGTTCTATGCCCCTCTTGGTTCCAGTGCAAAGACATTCTAGTTATATTGTTCTCAGGTTTTCTCAATGTGTGTCGTATTCAACACCAGCGTCTTTTCTTCACCTCTTGGTCCGTTGGAACTTGTTAGTTCCCTCCCAAAGCTCTACATTAGTGATACTATCGTACCATTTAATCCCCTTTATTCTGCGCAGGCACCAGTTGATAAATGTTTGTAGTTTATTAGTAACTGCCTTAGTTGTTCTCCATACTTCTGCTGCATGCAAAAGTACTGTTTTGACATTAGAATTTAAAATTTGAAGTTTAGTATTTCTTTTAATTTCTTTTGACCACAAATTTCCTAGTGCTATGAAAGCTTCTCTTGCCTTTTGTATTCATATCTTATTATCTCTATCAGTTTCCCCCATCTTTATCTACATTACTGCCCAAATAGGTGTACGACTATTACGTTAGAGTAAAACAATCTTACCGTATGGATAAACCGATCAGGTATAGATTCTACATAACCAGGTACATAGTCATGACCCTGAGGAAGGAAATAAACATGCAACAATTCATTCAACAATTATGTTAAAATAAATTATTTATAAAGTTGGTTTATAGGTTGTGAGTAAGTAATAAAAGATAATTGTTATCAAAACAATATCCTGTTCAATCTTCAGGGTAATAACTGGGAAATAAAAGTAAAGGTCCTTTTTCCAGGCCTTTCTAGGAATATAGGGCTAGACCTATATTTGTATAGACCAATCAGCACATGGTGGGTGATGTGGTTAGCATTATGCCGACCGCCTTTACTTCCCAGGACTGCACCTGGTACCCATTGGGGCTGGGTCAACCATGCGATTCAAGGTCATTTTGAAAAAAAGTCGGCTCTGTCAGGAAGCAAACCTAAGACCTTCTGATCTGCAGGCGGGTGACTAGCCGCCAACGTAACGGCGACTCAATAACTAGGAAATGGTGTTATTAATTCATTACTCAATTAAACAATTATGATTTATTACTTTAAACAAACATTTTGTTTGACTGGCTAGAGTAAGTAGCAATTTAAAAAAAATAATATCATGTTTAACCCTCAGGGTTATAACCTGGATAAAGTATCAACTGTATTTTCAATGTATACTTTTGCTATAATATCTATCATATATTCATTTCATGTATGTATGTATGTAATTTTTACCATTATTATTTGAAATATAAACCTGTTCACACCTTCTGGGTTGTGGCTATGGGGCACACTGTACAATGAAAATGTTTTGTACAATATTTATTACGTCACCACAAATGATGAGGTTCATCATATAATTATGTCATCACAAATAACGAGGTTCAACATATAATTATGTCATCACAAAATAAAGAGGTTTACCATATAATTACTCATCACAAGTGATGAAGTTCACTATATTATTACATCATCACAAATAAAGAGGTTTACCATATAATTACTCATCACAAAAGATGAGGTTTACCATATAATTACTCATCACAAGTGATGAAGTTCACTATTTTATTACATCATCACAAATAAAGAGGTTTACCATATAATTACTCATCACAAAAGATGAGGTTAACTATATAATTACGTCATCACAAGTGATGAAGTTCACTATATTATTACATCATCACAAATGAAGAGGTTTACCATATAATTACTCATCACAAAAGATGAGGTTTACCATATAATTACTCATCACAAAAGATGAGGTTTACCATATAATTACGTCATCACAAGTGATGAAGTTCACTATATTATTACATCATCACAAATAAAGAGGTTTACCATATAATTACCCATCACAAAAGATGAAGTTTACCATATAATTACTCATCACAAAAGATGAGGTTCACCATAAAATTAGTAAGTATATAATAGTAAAGGACTCTTTTCCACGCTTTTAGACGTAGAGGGCACATAGGGCTGGACTTATATTTTTATAGACCAAACGGCACTAGATAGGTGATGTGGTCAGCATAACGCCGGCCGCCTTTACTTCTCGGGACTGCAGACAGTACCCACTCAAGGCTGGGTCAACCTGGGAGTCAAGGTCATTTTTGAAAAAAGTCTGGCTCCTCCAGAGAGAGAACCCACAACATTCCGATCTGCACGCAAGCATCTAGCCGCTATGCCATGGTGACTACCACAATATAATTATGTCACACAAAATATTGGGTTTATCATATAATTACATCATCACAAATGAAGAGGTTCATCACACTGGCAACTATGAACCCTTTTTTTTTTCAACTACAGTGAAAAGACGGAAAAGAAAATGCAAAGGCATCGACATGTAATAAGATCTAACAGCCTCTCAAAAACAGTACTACAAGGCTCTGTAGAGGAGAAGAGGCAGACCAAGAAAGACTTGGGTTACAGAACTTGACGGACTGGACAGGCCTTAGGCATGCAACCATGAAGTCCACTGCATCTGACCGTCAAAGATGGAGGTATCTGATCAGACAGTCAACAGCAAGTGATGACCCAATGACATGCAGTGCTACAATGTGATGGTGACAACATGTATTACATTTTGCTTAAAACAGGGGCTGCATGGTCTCGAGTGTCCGCCTTGAGTGCTGGAGATCCCTGGTTCAAGCCCTGCTTAAGGTTGGGATTTTTCCACGTGGACTTCTAGTAATTTCTACTGGTCTCTGGGTAGTGAGATCGGATGCCTGTGTGTATTTTTGTGCATGTAAGAAATCTCTTGGCAGTTGGAAATCGAAAAGAGCAGACTAACGGCGCTGTCTGGACAAAATTTGGAGTTACAAATCTACCTAAAGTATTTCAGTATTCGAAGGGCTTTCTTGTGTGTCTTGGCAGTATGGCAGCATTATGTCAGCATTACAGTAACAGACATTTTGTGTGGTGAGTGCCGATGCCTTTTTTCTAGAAACAAACCCTGCCAACGTCAGTAAGTCAGCTGAGACCGTTCCATGCCATGAGAAAAAGCTATAAAGAATTTTTTGTCATTGTCGTTCTCTATCTCTCATTGCAAAAATATTCCTAATTGAGTCTTTAAAAAAAATCTGAATAACTCAAAAAGAAATTAAAGATTGGGTTGCAGAGCTCTGCCCATGTGGACAGGCACCACAGAATACTAAACATGTGCTACAGACATGATCGCTCCACATGCAGTAGAGAGATCTCAGGTTTGGCCGGTTGGCGTTCCAATTGAAATCAAAGGTGCATAAACAGCTGAAAACACTCCTCGCATCAAAGACTTCATAAAGGCATGTAGTCTTCTCATCTGAAAACCACCTGCAGAGAGAACGAATACGCATCGTACGTTCATAGATTCCTACCTTGAGGCCCAATGAACGCATGATGCGCCAATTTTTGGTCTTTCTTGACTACCCCTTGAGCCTGGGATGCTAAACCCCCTGGGACTCAAAGAGTTAAGGCCTAAGGACATTTTTATTACTGTTCATTACAGTATGAGAAATTAAAAAGACTTCAAAGTCACCCACTGCATTTTGAATTTCAAGAGAGAACAAAAAACAGACTGAAGCGTCAGAGCCCCAACCACCTTGCTAGAGAACTGTACAGACAGCACCAAGATCTGCTTGAAGTGACAGCATAAACAAACACAACAGGAAAGAACAAACATCAATTTTTAGACTTCGGACTGGACACTGTGGTCTTCGAGCACACTTGTACAGGATAGGCATAAAAGAATCTGCTGCCTGTGATTGTGGAGCAGAAAGACAGACCCCTGAGCATATACTACAGTACTGCCCTAACCTCTCCCAGCAGAGACTGTGGATCTGGCCCAAGGGAACCACATTGCAAGAGAAGCTATGGAGGACCGGTGGCGACCTTTAACGCACAATCCTATTTGTGACCCAGACGGGACTCAATGTTTAGCATGACTGATATCGAACGCAGAAGAAGAAGAAGAACTGTTAATTAATTGTCCAGACACACAGCCTTAAGTTTAAAGTAGTTTTAACCTGTGTAGCATGCAAGAGCTATTTTTCGGGTAAGGACCTTTTCTTTACGCCAGTGGTGTATTCGACATATGATTCTGACTCCTATTTTTAATAGACCAAACGGCACTCACTGGGTATGTGGTCAATGATTTTCAAGTGGTCAAGTCTTAACAAAGGAAATAAATTCACTGACTGAGACTGCCAGTCTTCCATTTGGGTCAATTAAAATTATTTCTGGAAACAAAATCAAATGAAGCAGATAACAGCCGCACAAGTAAACTGTCAGACGTGATAAATGTTTTGTATTGACATCTTTAGCGGACTGGATATTAGGTATCCTGTTCTCGTGCAAACCGTGTAGCCAGATCTATAGCTCTATTTCTGTTAAATGTATCTTCTTACGTAAATATTTATTTTTTTAACTGACTAATCGGAATAAGGTGGACGTTATGGATAGCCACCACCTGCTGCTTTTACTTCCAGGACTTAACCTCAATACCCATTTTTAGACAGTTTCTTCTTCTTTGCGTTCACCGTCTGTAATCTCCGGCGGAAAGTTCAAGTTGTTCGTTCCACCTCTAGAACTTAGTCTTGTTCCATAACCTGAATGCCGCTTCCGCATCCTTTTTACAGAACTGGCTTACTCGTATGCAGGACTATTGGTTCCTTGCCTCTCGGGCAGATGCACTTTGACTTCGAAGAAGCCCACAGTGGACTCTGACGACATGCTTTTGTTTTATCATAGTCGACGTCATTGCACATAATACACTCCCATGTTGCCGCGCCAACATCCAGCCCGCCAGTTTTACCACGTCAACATTCAGTCCGCCAGTGTCAGCATTCATTTTGCCACTCACAACGCTGAGTTAGCCACTCACAGTATTTAGTTAGGTCACTCCCAATATTCATTAGCTACTCACAACGTTTAACCATCCACTCCTAATATTCAGTCCGCCAGTGTCAGTATTCATTTTGCCACTCACAAAGCGCTGAGTTATCCACTCACAGTATTCAGTTAGTCACTCCAAATATTCAGTTTGCTACTCCTAACATTCAGTAAGTCGCTCCCAGTGTTCAGTTAGCCGCTCCAACGTTCAGTTAGCCGCTCTAATGTTCACTTAGCACTCCCAATGTTCAGTTAGCCACTCCAACGTTCAGTTAGCCGCTTCCAGTTGTTCAGTTAGGCACTCCCAATGTTCAGTTAGCCGCTCCCAATTGTTTCAGTTAGCCGCTCCTTTGTGTTCAGTTAGCCGCTCCCATCATTCAGCTCGCCAGTGTCAAACATTCAGTTAGCCACGCCCAGTATTTCAGTTATTCGCGCCCAATATCCAGTTTTGCAACTCCCGGCATTTCAGTCACCGTGTGTCAACATCAGTTAATCTTTCCAGTACTCATCTAATCTGTCCTAA